ATTATATTAATGGCCCACCCCATGGCAACTCCCCATGCAGCGGTAAATGTGAAGGTAAAACATGGTGCTGGTGAGAGGTGTTCGAGGGGAGCCCGTTTGCCCCGTGCTGGTGGGGGCTGGCAGTGTGTGTGTGGTCCTGCGGCTCTGCAGGGCAGTGCTGGCTTGCAAAGCTGTGGGAAGCTATTCTGGAATCCAAGCTCCAGGTTGTACTCTGGGGGCTGAAGGCAGAATGGAGACGTGCTTGGAGGAATGATGGTGTTCCTGGAATTGTGGAGGGCAAGGGTTGTGCAGCCCCTGGGCTTTGTGAGCTGGGGGCAATGCCAGCATCAGCACTGGGGCACAGGGCCACAGGTACTGACAGCATTTCTGTCCCGGCAGAGGGGTCGGCTTCAGCTTCATCTTCTCCTGGCTGCTGATGCTGCTGGTAATGATCATCTTCGTGGTGGGGGGGAATGTCTACATGTTATTCTGCGAGTCCTGGCGCAACCAGCAGCTCTTCCAGGTGAGCTCCCTGTGGGGAGACACTCCTGCCCAGAGCCATTGCTGCCTTTCTGAGGGCTGCTGGTGGAGCTGTGGCAGCACTGGCCATTTGGGATATCCTTCTGAGGTGTTCTGCCCTGCACTGTGTCTAGTTTTTCCATCTCTTCTCTTGCTCTTAGCTCCTGGACACTCCCGGCCTGATCCCTGGCTTCAACCTCTCAGAGCTGCTGGGCCAGGAGGGTGACACGACAAACTTCTCAGAGATATACAGGTGGGTCCCAGCCCTGGCACTGTGTCTTTGGGAAAGGGTACAGCTGCTCAGTGCCCTCAGATGCTCTCCAGGAGGGGGGCAGCTTGCCCTACCTGCTGTGGCTGTGGGCAGGCACTGATGCCAGGGAAGGACCAAGGTGCGACCTACCTGGACAGGTGAGGACATACTCCTGGGAGGGGATAGCCTTTGCCTGCCCTGTTTTCAGCTCACGCCCCCATCCTGCAGGCAATGCCACCAAGATGCTTCTCTGTGGAAAACTCTGCACTTGGACCAGCGTGTGTCCCTGGATGAGCTCTTGAATATCAGCCAGGTGAGCCTGGGGGTGCCAGGTCTGGAAGGCAGGGATGGGGGCACAGAGCTGAGGGGACAGTGAGGGGCCAGCACATGCTCCATATGGCCCCTTTGCTCTGGCAGTACACAGGAGAGATCTCCATGGCTTTCGAGGAGATGAACATCACCCTGAGCCCCGTCTCCCTGCTCAACCAGACACAGGAAGACATGCTGCTGCATGCCAGTCAGGCTGGGCAGCCCCCCGACTTCACCCTCACCCTGGAGCAGGTGGGCTGAGGGCAGCCTGGTGTTGGGATGGGGGCGTTTGGATGTGGATTGAGGATGTCCACTGTAACCTACACTTTGCTGCTGGGGTAATCCTACTGCAGGCTCTCATCCATGTCACCCCATTTGGCAACCAAGCACATCCTCCACCCAGAAGGCCCTGACTCCACTCTGCCCCACAAGGATGGCATACAGGAGCCCCATTCTCATGGCTTTGTCTCTGCCTTTTCCAGCTGGATCAGAACATAACCCAGGGAAGCCTCCTGGATCTGGCCACAGAGTTGGAGCAGCTGGCAGAAAAAACGGTGAGAGACCATGGCACTCCAGGGCCATGGCCACCCTGTCCTCAAAGCCACTGGCTGTGGGGCTCCTCTGTCCCTGCCTGGGTGTTGAGAGGAGGCGATGCCCTTCACCCTTGTCCAGCTCTTTTCCCCAGCCAGGCCCATCAGCTGGCTATGGTGGGGCCTGGACCTTGTGCTTGGGGTACTGCTGACTGTAGCTTCTTCAGGACATAGATGTGAAAACAGACCTGGAAGATGAGGCTCGTAAACTGAGGGAGATGGACAAGGAGATGCAGGCGGACTTCTCTGGACCACTAGTGAGCGATGCTGAGGGAGGTCCTGGGGGTGCTGGCTTGGGCTTCCCTAGAGCTTGGAGCCTGCTGGCATGGTCTTGTCTGAGTTGTGAGGTCCACACCTCTGACCTCCCTCTCTTGGTCCCCAGCAAAGCCTGAAGAAGAACATCCACTCAGTGCAGAGCGGGGCTGCCCAGCTCGAGGTAAGCTGCACAAGGGGACCTCCTGAGTGCACCCCAGTCCAGGGCACCCTGCAAAGCACCCTTGAGGTCCTGCAGCAGAGATGGTGGGGGTAACCTGCAGTCTAGGGGGCTGGTGGCTGCTGTGGGACTGCCCAGGCATGCGCTGCAGGGGCTGCTCATGGGGCAAAGGGAGGGGGCCCATGTCATGGACCCTGCCAGGCACAGGCTCCCTTCACCTGAAGTACTCGGGCACTACCAGTGTGTGACTGCTGGGAACACCACAGCTCAGAGAGGCTGTGCCCCAGGGAGTGCTGCTGTGCAGGACAGGGACCCCACTTCCCTCACACTGCTGAGAGCACCTTTTGCCCCAGGGACAGACAAGAACTGCACTGGACAAAGCCAACAAAACCCAGAAGTTCCTGGAGAGGGAGACTCCTAACATCATCAAGAATGTGAGCTTGCCTTGTCCTGCTCCTGGGCCACACTGTGGGGATGTGATTGCACCCCCACACCAAGACCTCCCTCTGCACAGGGATGCCAAGCAATGTCTGGCTGCTTGTCCTGCCCTGTTGTCTTCCCTGGGGGTTTCCTGCACCTCTGGGTGCCCCTGCCCCTTATGGCACCCCCAGCAAGGGGCTGGGGTGGGGTGAAGCATGCAGTCCCATTGCTGCTGGATTGAAGTGGTCTGAGAGCCCTCATCCTGACACGGAGGGGACATGGGGCATGGAGAGGGCTGGTGGTGCAGCATCTCCACTCTGTGCTACCCCCCACCAGGAGACGCGGACCTTCCTGGAGCAGCTGTTGCATTTCTTTGAGACCTACATCTCATGGGCCAAGAGCAGGGTGAGTTGAGCCTTCCTTGGTGGGGTGGAGGGAAGGGGAGGATGAGCTGCAGGGTTCTGACATGTCCTGTCCCCACCCATGTGTCCAGCTGACAGAAGATGTGGCACGCTGCAAACCCGTAGCTCAGACCCTGGATAATGTGGAGGTCATTGGCTGCGACTACATCATGGACTCTGTGGTGAGTGGGGCAGCGGTGTGTGGAGTGAAACGTGTGTGTGGGGTGGCTGTGAGGTCCCCTTGTTTTCATCATGCACAGGATGAGGGATGTAGGGAAGGATGAGGGATGCACAGGAAGCAGGGCTCAGCTTCTCCCCAGCGGATTGCTGTGGCTAAGAACAAGCTGTGAGAAGGAGTGAGTGGTCATCGGGGAGCTCTGAGAGCAAAAGATATTCTCCCAGCTGCTGTCTAGCCCTAATGGCTCTCCTCCCAACCCCCCAGAATGCCTTCTGGTTCAGCCTGGGCTGGTGCACATTGTTCCTGCTGCCCAGCATCATCCTGTCTGTCAGACTTGCCAAGTTTTACCGCCGCATGGACATTGCTGATGTGTACAGGTGAGGAGCAGCCCCACCCCCTATGGCCACACTGGGTCTGGGGTCCCCTCGTGCACTGCCAGCTGTCCCTTCATGTGCCTCATGGTAGCCTGTGGGGCTGATCCTAAAGTAACATGGGCTGACTTGGGACTCTCAGCCTCTGAGGGTGGAGATGTTCTGGAGAAGAGCCTGGCCCTGCCAGCTCTGAACCAGTTCTTTGGGCAGATGAAAGTGCATCCAGCTCCGCTTGGAGGAAGGAGCTGGCAGGGCTGCAGCCCCAGCCTGGCTCGAGGGTCCATCACCTGCCTGGCTCTGTTTTGCACTATTTTTGTGCTGGGGCCCCCAAACAGGAGCTCAGCTTCATGCTGTGCAGAATGCAATGTGCTGCATGGATGGTGTCCTTGCCACGAGGGTGCAGTGCTTGCTCACACACCTGTGGCCACCGGTGTCCCAGGGCTGCCCCCAGCCCTCTAGGACCCTCTGACCAGCAGCTCCACTGCCACTCCACTGCTGACCCCTGAAGGTAGTGAGCAGTTTCCAGTTGGCTTTCCAACTCCTGAGGGCTGCATCTTGGCCCTGCAGTGCAGCCAGTGTGCTTGGGGCTCCCTAGCCCTGGTCCTGCACTGAGCTGGCTGGAGACACAGGCTCAGCTGCCTGGGAAACTTGGGGGAACTGAAATTCTGGCATGGGGGAACTGCGTGCTGCTGAACTGGTGAGTGTGGGCCCCACTCTGCCTGCCCAGGGAAGGAGCAGGGAGGCTCTGGGGGCAGCAACATTCAGGGGGGCTCTAGGAGCCCATGCTCTGTGTTCAGGTCAGGCATCCAGGATGGAGGGGACCAGAGCACCCTGAACTCTCCATGTTCTTCTGTGACCTGGGGGAGACCTTGTCCCACCAGGAGATGCTGGGTTGTCCCAAGAGTCTTGCTCCACTGACACTGTCCTCTCTTTTTTCTCCCCTCCAGGAATGAAGAATTTGAGATGTAAGCTATTTGCATTGCCAGGTCCCTGTGTGGGATGGGGGGCAGATCCTGTGGTATGAAGGGGGACAGGGCACAAAGAGAGGTGGGTGAGGTGGGGAACAGGGTGAGTGAGTGCAGGCCAAAGAGGGTGCTGGTACCAGGGGAAGGCTTTGAGGGTGGGACCTTTGCAGTGCACACAGTTCTGGGGTTCCCCCATCATCTTTCCACACTCCTAAGTTTGGAGGTGCTGCTGCTCCCAGTCTCCCAGGCTGGGAGGTTTGGGGAGGCTGTCCCCATATCCTCTTTCCTGTGGGACTGGGTGATAGGAGTGGGATGATATTTGGCCATCCTAGTGCATCCTGGGCTGTCCCTTGCTCCCTTTGTGGCTGGGGATGATGTAAGTGACCTTGGTTTTGCAGGCCACCTGCGTTCAACTACTACATAATCCCCAGGCCATCCACAAGGCATTAGCCCCCGTCGCCCACAGATGGAGGAAGAAATGGAAAGGCCCCCCTGACTTGAAAAATGTGACTATTTATTTTTATAGGGAGCCTGCTTCTTTTCAAGGCTGTGATTTTTGGTGTCAAACAATAAATGGGATGTTTGTGTGCACTGCAGGATGTGGCTGCACTCCTCAGGTCTGGCTGTGAAGGACACAGGGGTAGGGACAGGGAGGGTTCTCCACTGCTGGCACAAGCTGGGGCTGTGCCTGGGACCAGAGGCCTCTTTCTGGGGTTCCCAAGCGCGCTCTGCCCACAGCCAGCCCATGGGTTGATACAGAACCACTGCTCAGCATCACTAGGGCTGGATGACATTCCCCTCACCGGGCAGCCCTTTTCACTTGTGGCTGGCTGGGTGTCAGGTCCTTTCCTGGGAAAAGCCACACCAAGAGCCTCCTGTCCATGAGGTGCCACCCCAAGCTGTCCCCAAGACATGAAGCACTTCCCTCTGGCAACCCTGGTATGTGTCATCTGTGCGTTTCCAGTTTATGGGGTACCTGCAGCCCACATGTCCTTCCGTTAGGTACGGTGGCATGGGGACTTCCCATGTCCTCTCCTGCACGTCCCATGCTCTGCACAGCGAGAGCTGCATGCACAGATAAGCCAAGGGTGACTTGGTCTGGAGCCTTGGGGTGAGTGCAGGTGTTGCTTTGTGCTGCTCCTTCGTGCAAGCACAGGGACCATCCCGAAAGCCATGTCAGGCACAGGGAATATGCGTGAGCAGCTTGACTCATTTCCTTTGTTGTAAAGTCTAAGTCTCTCTGGAGCAGAGTGAGAGGGCCAGGCTGGCCAGCTCACCCTCTGCTACATGCATCTGCTTTATTGCTTTTTCTATTTGCCTTCAGATCTCCTAATCGCTGGTTTTTCCTTTGGGTGTTATCTGAAGCTGCACCGGCCTTACCTCCTGCTATCTCCCCTCAGCACCCATCTGACCGCAGAGAGAACTCTGTGCTTGCCTATTACTCAGCTGAATCTTGTTCTTTGGAGTGGTTTGGTCACTGCTCCCCATAGGGATGTCTACTCTTTCTGGTCCTTGGGGATTTCCAGCATTTCTTGGAAAGCATTCAGCTCAGTTTTGTCTCTTGCTCTCCCCTACCCTGAACCCTCAGGCTCCCAAGTTTTGACTGCTTCCTGCCTGTCTAGGGCCCGCATGTGAAGGTCTCTTTCCCCAAGCCTCAGGGTGTCCCTACCACACAGCGTTCCCCGCTTCCTCTTCCCTTGCTGTGCCTCAGGGACATCAGCCCACACAGGATGGCTGCTGGCTTCAGTTTCCTCTTGCTGGCTTTACAGGCATTGCTCCTTCCCTGATCTGCCTTTTCTTCTCTGCAGAACTAGTGCTGGAAGGCAGGGAGCTTGACCCTCATTCGCTGTGCTACTGTGACCACCTGCATCCAAACCCAGCCTTGGCAATGAAGATCTCCCCCCCAATTACTGCACAGCTTTTGCCAAGGTGTGGGGCTTGCTCTCAGCAGCTCTCCATTCAGTGCTGCCCCAGGGCAGCATCCTTGTCCTTGGAGCAATGGCTCCGAAAGGGCTCTAGGTCTGTCCATCATCCTCCTCCTGAGCAGCCCTGGGTGGTGGGTGAGAGCAGCATCAGGCAGAGCCAGCAGCTGCTTGGAGAGGAGGCAGGGACAGCCCACAGTGGCTGCTGCCAGCTCTCCTTTCAGGCCAGACTCCCTTGCTCATGTGAGCAGCAGCTGCCAGAATCAGGTGGCTTCCTTGTGTGGGAAGGAAACTGGCAGCATCCCATGGCCACAGCACCCCCTTCCCAACAAGGAAGGTCTCATCAATAGCCAGCCAGCCTCTAGGCAACCGTTGCAGCAGTTCCTCTTCCTCTTTGCCAGACCTTTTTCTACCACAGGGACTTTCTGCAGCCAAGCCCTTGTCTGGGGGAGGCCCTGCCGCATCTTTACAGTGGTTTCACAAAACAGGATCTCTCCAACAGCAGCTCTGACACTGAGTGCCTGGCAGCAGGCTCCTGCTGGGCCAGACAAGTACTTCCCATTGCTAGTTTTCCAAAAAATGTACAAGTTCCAGCTCTTGAGGAAAAAATCCCCCATCCTCAACTCTGTCTTGGGCCCAGCCACAGCTGTGCACTGCATGGATGGGCCTTCTCTGCAGCATGCACACTTCTGCCTGCCTGTGCAGACTCCTGCCTCCATGGCTTCATAGTGGTAAGTAGCTGAGGGCTGTCTGGGCACGCTCTCTGAACGCGGCTGTACCAGCAGTGAGCCGTGCTGGGCAGTACCAGTGAGCTGAGGTTGTCCACTTTTCACCAGAAACAAAACACAACCGCCCTCCTCCCGAGGGTGTGCACCCTCACAACATCCACCACCACCTCAGCACTGCTTTAGGAACCTTTATTTTTAAAAGGAGTCTGTCTTCCACGCTTCAGACCACTCTCAAGAGGACTAATGCAGGTGAATCTCCTCCAGCCCAACAAGGCAAGAGACAGCTCCTTTACACCACAGCCCAGAATGCAGGGGCAAAGCCATAGCTAGGGTCTCCCTCCTGGTGGAGGGGGCCAGGCAGAGGGTATCAGAGTGAGGCTGGAACCTGGATCTTCCTGCACAACTGCTCTCAAGTTACACCGACTTTGCAAACAGAGGCACAATATGAGCCAGACAACCCTGACAAAGCCCCTTTGTGTGCAAAGGGCAAAGGTAGAGGAGATGGGAACAGAGGGCCTGGGTGTCCTGCAGCATAATCTAAGCTTCCACAAAGGAAAGGGAGAGGCAGGGCCAGCCCCAAGCTCACACAGGCTGCTGCCAGCTTCTCAGCTCAGAAGAGAGTTTGGGTACTGTCTGGGATAGAGAGATAAGGGAATTAGGCTGCTCTCTTCAGCTAAGTAGCTGCAATCAGTCACAGCTACAGGATTGATCCCAGAGGAACTGTGGTGAGACAGCGTGCAGAGTGCTGCAGCTGCCAGCACGTGTGCTGGGACCTCCAGTGCCACACTGGCATTTAGCATCTTACTGAGCCCAAAGAAGCAGGACTTGGTGACCCCACTGCAAGAAACATGCCCCGTTTCTCACAGGCAGCACTTAGAGGCACCACCCAACTCACTGAGCAGAGAATGGGGATGCAAGACTGTGTGTGTCCCTGCCCATCACTCCACCACTAGTCCTACAGGATCAGGGGAGTAGAAGTGGATATATAAAGGAGCCAAGCAAACTGAAAACAAAGTGCTTTGGGCAGGGAGCAGTTCTGTAGTCCTGTAGTGCAACCAGCATTTTCATCTGCAAATGCACCTGGCATTTGCTCCTCCACTGGGCACACACAATTGCACTTGATAGGAATAGCCAGAAAGCCTGCCCTGGCTCAGAGGAGATCCCCCAACCCCAGCCACCCAACAGGCTCTTTGAGGTGCTGCTACAGGGAGGCTTCAGAAAGGAGCAGGCTTCCATACTGCCACGCAGGGTAGGATTTCCTGGGGTGCATGTGGCTTTCCCTTCCTCGTGCACCCAAGGCTTGGGATCACGTTGTCCTTCCCCCCATCACACACTGTCATCCTGTACCAGTGCCGAGGGTGAGGAAGTCCTTGCTATCGGTGGCTGAGGGACATCATCGGCTACTGCTTTTGAAGGGACTTTGTGCTCTCGGGGTGGGGTAGGAGGGGGGAAGGTGGGACTCTGCAAGGCATCCAAGTACATCTCGTGGACACTGGGACGCTGCGCAACCCTTTGCAGCAGTGGCTTAAGCAAGCCCACAGTCAGCTGGTTCCCCTCGCTGGAGAAAGGCACTGGGTCCTCCTGGGAGTGAGGGAGGTGCTGCAGGACCACGGTGAGGATGTCTGAGGCAGTGAGCTCAGCAGGGCACAGCGGCCACAGCCTGTCCAGATATGGGTCCAGCTCCCGGTGCTGGGCAAACTCAGCCAGCAGTGTGGTGAATATCTCCTTGTTAAGCAAGGGGCTGAGTTTGGAGAACTTCTCTGCCACTTCCACCACCCGCTGCCACCGCTTCAGACGGATAAGAAGGTGCAGAGCTTGCAGCACAGCCTTAGGCCTCTTGCTGCAGAGCAGCAGTTCCAGCTCCATCTCATTGTCTCCCTCGCTGTGTTTGTTCTTCCGGGCCAGTACTCCCAGTGCTCTCTTGTACAGCGGCACCCGGCCCTCTGGGCCCTCCTTGCTGCTGTATGCCCAAGACATGCTAATGTACTGCTGGGTCAGCTCCACAAAACTGGGCAACCACTTGGGTTTGAACCTCAGGAAGGAAGCGCAGATGAGCTCAAAGAGTGGGACCATCCCATTCTGACCCACGTCGTCCAGCTGTGGCCCTCCCAGAACCTTCTTCCACACCTCTGGGGTGGCCCTGGCTACCAAGAGGCCCTCCCCATTCTGCTGTAGCTGCAGGCAGCTCCTTGTGGCCTTCCAGGCAGCCTTGGGGAAAGAGGTAAAGACAGAGTTGAGGTAGGCCAAATTGTCCTTGTCCATGTCAGAGTGCAGAATGCGGCTGACCTCCTGCTCCACCAGTTCCTTGCAGTAGCTTTCCACCTCACTCTCTGGGGCACACACCACACAGGTCTTGAGGAGCTCCAGGCTCATGTAGCTCTGCAGCTCCAGGCTCATTGTGCTCAACAGCTTGGCATAAGTGTCTTGTAGGCCTTGAGCTGGCTTCTGTTTCTGGTGAAGGCTGTGCTGCAGGATGGCAGCCAGGGCCACAGGAGCCTGGAATGCACCACCTTTCTTCAACTTCTCCACTGTCAGCTTGGAGCTGCTGAGGCTTCTCCTCTGGTAGTATCTGCAGGCCTCCTCAAACACCATCTCCACCAGGCATGGTTCAGGTCTGCTGCTATCTTCAGGTTTGGAGAAACAAAAGCTATAGATGCCAGCTTGAGTGAGGAGCTGGATACTGTCCTCCTCTCCTGGGGACTCCAGGAAATGCACCTCTTTCATGCTCAGTACTTCTTTTTCTATGAGCCTTCCATTGTTCTGGTCGACAAGGTAGAGGACTCCAGCCAGCACACAGGCCAGGATGCTGCCAAAGGTCTTTAGCCGGACAGGACTTCCCCGGGCCAGGGAGCCCACCTCCAGGTCAAAGATATGCCTCTGTGTCCCATCTGGCTCCACCATGTTCACAGCACCCTTTGTGCTCACCAGCAGCAGACCCCCACTGTTAGACACAGCAGATGTGTGAATGTCCAGGGGTGTAAAACCTGAGAGAAGGCCCACAGAACCCAGCAGGAGTTTTCTGAAGTCTGACTCACTGCTGGAGTGCAGCACCTTGCTGTGGATGAAGCCTGCAGAGGGGGCTGTGATGGTGAGCTTTGCTGTCTCAGGATGCCAGATGAGGAGGAATTTGGAAGTGGTGGCAAAGCCGGCAGCAGCAGGCACCAGGAAGATGTGCTGAGGGGAGGCCAGGACCTGGTACTCAGGGCTGTTGTGCAGGACCATCCTCACGGTGCCCAGCCTCACACCTTGCTCCCCCACCTCCAGAGCACGGGCACAGACACAGAATCTGAAGGCACACTTGCTCATGTCCGAGTGGGCACCCAGGGGCGGCCTCTCCTCGCACCACACCAGGCTGGCTCCCTGGCTGCACACGGAGACAATTCGTGCCCGGGCACCCTGGCAGAGCTCCAGTGTCTGCAGCAGCTGCCAGCCCACGGCCACCACAAAGTGCCAGACCTCGGTCCGGCCGTGTTCCCACACCATGGCCAGTACCCAGGAGTCCAGTACTACAGGGCTCTGCAGGAAGAGCAGTCCCACAAGGGCTGGCTGGGGCGGCTGCCAGTTCCTCTCCAGGTCGGTTCCAGCGATGCTGTGGCGCTGGAAGGCCACCACCCGGGGCATGGGGGGCGGCCCGCTCTTCTGCAGGACCAAGAGGTGCTGCCCGTCGGGGCTGGGCTGGACATGGCAAGGCTCTTCTCCGCGGCACAGCAGCTCCCGCAGCCAGTGGCCTCGGCTGAAGTCGCTCAAGTCGGAGACCTGCCGCAGCGTCCCGGCGCGCTTCATCCTGGGGCGCCCGCCCTGTCACCGAGAGCGTACACCAGGGCGAGCCGGGGCACGGAGCCCCTGCTGCCGCCCGGTCCCCGCACGGAGCCCACCCGCAGCTCCACTCCCCAGGATCCCTGCAGGCCCCCAAGGACCCCTCGGGCGCCTTCCCCCCGCGGCGAGCCGGTTCCGCGGGCGCCAACCCCACGGGGACCGGCCGCGCCCCCAGCTCCCCGAACACCCACCGATCCCCCGGGCAGCCGGGGGACCCCCTCCCGCCGGGACCCACCTGCCGCGGCGGCGGCTGCCTACCGGGGCCGGGCTGGCGGCGGCTCCGCTCGGCGCTGCGTAGTCACGGGGCCGCGGGTTTCCGGGCGGGGCCGCGCCGCCCCGGGCCGCCCCTCGCCTACTTCCGCCGCCGGTACGGGGAGGGCGGCGCGGTCACGTCCCGGGGTTGTCTCGTGGGCTGAGGGGCCATTTGTTGCCGCGGGGCGGGCGCGCCAGTCCCCGCGGGGCGAGCCGAGAGCCCCGTCCGGCCCGGGGAGGAGCCGCCCCCCCGCCACCCCCGCCCACGGGAGCCGCGGCCGCGCGGCGGGACCGGCGGGCGCACGCGCGGCGCGTGCGCGGTGTGCGGGGAGCGGCTGCCCGCAGGTGAGTGCGGGAGCGGCGGGGGGGACGCGGGACTCCCCCACCCGCGGGGCCGGGCGCGCCCCCGCCCCGCCGCCCCTCCGGCACCGGGGGCTCCACCGCGCCGGGGGCTCCGCGGGGCGGGCGCGCTCCCCGCCGCCAGGGTCCTCGCCGGGCACCGGCAGCCGGTGGCAGGGCCGCTGCGCTGCCGGCCCCGGGCAGCTCCGGGAGCGGCCGCGCGCAGCCCGTGCAGCGGGAGGTGCCGCTCCGCTCCCGCCGGTGCCGCCGCGGTGCCCCCGGTGCGTGCCTCGGGTGCCGGCCCCGAGGAGGCCGCGGGGCCTGCGGCAGCGCAGCCCTGGAGCTGCCTGCGGGCCGCGCTGTCCCCCAGCTGCGGGGGACTTTGGGCTCAGGATAACTCCTTCTAGGAAAACAATAAGCGTTCGCTGATCATTCCGGTTATCCGGTTTGCCTCACGGTCCTACAAGCACTTGCATGGGCAGAGCAAAAGGAAGTGGTGAACAGTGGCAAAGCAGTGGGAGCTTGCAATGTTTACTCTGCTGAAGGCAGAGGTACTTGCTACATGAGCGAGCTGCCGTCAAACCCTGTTGCATATATCACTGTAGGAAAGTTTGCTCTTTAGCAGAGACCGTAATCTGAATATATGATGAGAGCCAATTAGGGTGAGCAGGTGGGTGGAATATGCAAAGCAGTGAGGTAATTTGGATCATTGCAACGATGCGCGGTGATTGCAGTTCACCAGCTGTTTGAGCTCTATCAGGAAGTGTGACAAAAATGTTTAAGAGGAATTTCGAGTGGGGAAAAGGACATCAGTTTGGTTTTCCAGTAATAATAGCTGTTCCTCTGTGTCATTTGGGGTACTTTTTGCTGTGTGCAAAGGGAGGCTGTGGGTAGGGTAGTATATACAGTGTAAAAATGTTTAACAGTTATTGGCAGGCATGCACAAAAGAAACAGCGAGGCTTTAATGAGCTGCTAGGCTAAGCATTCATCTGCTCACACCCCCCCCCCCCAACACACCAGGCAGCCATGCAGCCATCCCTCAGGAGGGGAAGGGTCAGCCTCTGCTGCTCAGAGTTGCTGAGTTGCTATGTTCTGGCTTCCTAGTGGTTTTTTTGTTGTTGTTTGGTTGGCTTTTTTGATTTTTTTTTTATTTTTAGAACTGTGACCTTATTATGTTTGTATTTTAACTTCTGAGTACTCGTGCTGCTAATGGTCCATATCTCAAAAATGTTACCCACTCTTCAGCTCTACCTTTCTTATCTTGGCATGACTTTACTGTGCAGCTTCTTAGAACATAGCAGCTATCTCAGAAGCTGGAGGCAAGGTCATGTAGCTGCACTGTGTTCAGCATGGGCCTTGGATCCACACCGCTGGCTGAATCCATGGAAAAAGGGCAGGGGAAGGTTACAGGGAGAGTGTTTTTCTTCAGAAGGAAGGCATCTGAAAAGGCCTGCAAGCAATGTGAGCATTTAGGTGGGAGTGTAAAGGCAGTGCAGAATATTTCAGGCTAAACTATGTGGGATGGATTCTAAAGGGCTCCAAAAGTGAAAACCCGAAGAGGCTTTCTGACATGGGAAAGCTGGGTGTTGTAGCCAGGTATATAGAGAGAAAGAGTGGTGAAATGAGAAAATGAATTAGAAAAAATGGTGTGAATATATGCTGGTGGAAGCATGCGACGCTTATCTGGATGGACTTGACAGGAAGAAGTGTAACTAGTTGGTGGTGTGAAGTTGATGGATTGGGTGTTATTTTAACTGGACAGATAGAAATGAGATGCAATTATGGATGAAATGTTATTCTTTTACATTACTGCTACAGCAGGTGTAATGGTAGGTAGTCTGTATCTGCATTAGAAAGCTGCTTTTCCTGTTTTTCAAGGGGGCAAAAATAGGTCAGTCGTGGTATAACTTCAGCGTGTACTGTGTAGAAGCACATACATCGCTCTGCTCTAAGCGGGATGGAAGGACTTTCCAGTAAAAATGTATGTGACTGTGCTGGAGGTTGTTTCTTGGTACTGCAGAAAAAGAAGTAGGATCTATGTGGGCTTTTGTCATCAGCACACCCTCAGAATATATTTCTCATTACATACTGCCTGAAGGCACCTGGGAATTTTGCCACATGGATCCAAGGCTTGTATGCTGTGAGTGTTATTGTTTCCCTTGTTGGTGGGTTGAGCACCTTTCAGTTTAAAGGAGAGCACAGTCAAAGCAGTTTTCATTGCAGTGAACAATATACAAATGAAGTTGTAAAGAATGGATGCAATACAAAAGCAGTGTGGATGTACTAGCACAAACCGTAACCGCCAACGCAAGAATTGGAAGAATTGGTGGAGAATAAGCTGCAAAACGGCTTATAGCAGAAATCTGGCCATGATGGTTGCTAAAGCCTTGACGAAATCTAATCCGATGTGTTCTTCTTCTCTCTGTTTTCACTTGTGGTCTTCCAGGCTGCTGCTGGGTGGTCCTGAGGGTTTTAATACAGGAGCTTGAACTGGGTCCAGGCACTCTCTGTGAATCAGGATTCATGAACTTTTGCGCTGGGTACAGGTCATCTATTGCTTCCAGGGATGAATGAGTGCTGGAACCTGTGTTTTAACTGCCTATTGCTCATGTGTGGTATTTTCTCTGCAGATTCATCACGTGGATCAAGTGCAAACTTTTCCTGGTACTTCAGTGAAGAATTTATTGAGTATATGGCTTATAACACATTGCTTTGAAAGCCGTACGTTAACTTTGAGACAGGGGTTTATCCCAGCCTCTTGCATGATTGAGATATTTTTTGAACAACAACTTTATACTTGAGTGACGTACCTGCAGAACATCTTGAAAGGCAAAGCATCATCACACTGAGTCCCAAGAGCATACACTCAGGGAGGGAGGAGGCAATTACTAGCCTTGAAATATTTGAAAAAGTGAGTCCAATCTTAGTAGCTCTGGCAAGTCAAGAGATATTGGATTCTGAAAGGACAGTTCTTATTCAGAGTCTTTATAAATATTGATTGAGGTTTGGGGCTTTGACAGTGACAAACTAATACAGATCACATCATTTGCACAGCCTTTTTCAGATAGGATTTGCCAAGTAAGTCAGTGTGTGAAAATACCATTTTCAGTCATCTGTATTCTTTTTGCCTAGCCAAGAAGTGTTACAATATATTTTTTGAGGAGTCACACTGAAAAAAAAAACTTATTCACGTTTTATTGTATGTGGGTGTTGCCTATGTGCATCTCTAATCTTGAAAATTTATAGGTTTGTTAGCCGAGGCAATTAAATGCAAAGTGCTGTGCTTGATGGGCTGCATGCAGGATTACACAAGTTACAAGTTTTGGATCCTGATGTCATTATGGTGTAGATGTGCGTTAGTGCTATCCTTTCTACGGCATTTTTTGCTATTAGAAGATGGTCTATAGAATACTAATAAGTCTGTACAGGAGCTGAATGAAAAAAACAGTGGAGCATCCACAGCCTTCAATGTGCATAAGTCTGAGTAAATCTCAGACTCAAAATGTCAGCTTCATTTTTCCTGTGGCTACTCTAATGAAAAGCTAACACAGTTGTGTTCATTGGAATGTCATATGTTTGGTTGGAATTTCTGTTATGAATTCTGGAATGAAACAGAAAGGAGGTGGATGGTTGGATGTGCTCATCCCTTCCTGACTTCATCAGCTGATCTCAGGGTTGATGAGAGATAAAGCAAGAGTCTGCCTGAACTTCTGTCTGCCATGGCTTTTATCTTCCTGCCTTTTGAGCTGCCAAGACTCGTGCTCTGTTGAGTTTTCTTTTAGTTCAGATGAAGCATCTTGTATCTTCTGCTGCACAGCAAAGTACTTGTTGTTCTAAAAATCCCCATGTGTGTGCTTTTCTTGGCCCTGAGGGGTAGTTCTCCTATGTAGTCAGTGAATACAGCAGGATTCACTTAGCAGCATGTGTTAATGGGAATGACCTATTGACAGAATAAATTATGTTTGAACCTAAAATGTGGAAAACGCAGTGATGCTTTTTAAATGTGATGTTTAAAGGAAAATTGTTAACTATATTCAGTGTCATAACATTTTCATAAGCATCGCAGCATCCGGATAATTTGACACCTCTACAACATATTTATAAATGTTTTGTGCATTTCACTCTTGGTTTCTGCAGCTGCCTGGAAGGTCTCCATTAGCAAAATGCAGTTTTCTGTTTGTCTTTATGACATCTAGAAAATGTAATTGCATAAAGTGAAAAGGAAAAGCCATTTGTATGGCCTGATCATCATAGGTCATGAAACAAGCACAGCCTAATAAAGCATTGGCATGGAAGGCAACTTCTACTTTTCTCTCCTTGCTCCTTCATATGCTCATTTGTAGAATAGCAAATTAAAAGCAAGAACATTATTTAATCCTTGCCTCTAGCATTGTCTTTATATGTGCTCTGTGCAGCTTTGGTTGAGAGAATGTGAATCCCAAGTCCTGTGCTGACAGACTAGAATTTTCACATGGTCATGCGATCCCTCTGATGCTCACCCAGCATCAAGCCTTTGTGTCCTGAGGGACTTAGATTTTTCTGTCTCTCTGGAAATGTAGGAGAAGGGTTAAAACACAGCTCTGAAAGTCCAGGGACTAAGCAGAGCATATTGATCCCCTCCCATTCACGTACACATTTCATGTGAGAACGCTGACCTAGAAGCACTGAGAGTTAGTTTATTAGTTTTGACATTGGGATTCGTTAGCTGTAATTCAATTAGAAGCACATTGATGGATGTGTTTGTATGCTGGGGCTGGCAGCTGCTCTAGGTTCAGAAACTTAGAATTCTAGTAGGAAAATTGTTTTGTGCAGTCTTGGGTAAGATTCGAATTGCTAGGCTAAAAGTGACATCGTACTTGATTTGGTTTTTAATAGGTTTCTCTCTGTTTCCAATTATGTTTCTAATTAGAATAATGTCTTATTTCCCATGACAGTTTAAAAATAATGCAAAGTCCGTAAAAGAGAAGCTATCAAGATGATTGAAAAATGTTTTCCTTTTCGTTTGTTGGTTGGAAACCTTTTTCCATCTTAGTTGGATACATAGACCTACCAGGCTACAGGAGTAATTTTGGTGTTTACAGGATGTTATGATGCAGTAGTTGCTTTCTTCTGTCAATGTGTCTCGGGGCTGTTTCCATTCTCACCCCAGCACATACACCAGCCCATAACCAGCCAGCTGTACATACTCCCTTTCTAGCGGGAAGACAGAACACCTCTCCGCCTTTCTGTGTAAATGTTGACTTTTCAGGTGCGAGGTCTGCTGTTCTGTCTTACCCTTTCCCATCCAGGCAAAGCTCCTTCCCTTCACACCTGAGGTAGTGTCTTTTGCAGCAGCATTGTTTCTCCTAAAAATGGTTTTCTGCCACTTAGAGCCAAGATTTATGCCTCAAAGGATGGAAGTTTGAATAACTGACTCGGGGAACCTGAGAGACCTAGTTGAGAACGTACTTGTAGCTTAAGTCAAGTAAAAGCTGTCTGCAGTGGAAAGAACATGAATGAGATCTGGAACTGGTATTCAGTAGTTGCTGGAACTTGGTCTTTGAGGGAAAGACAGATCTAAATCCACTGCAGTTGTGGAAGGGGTTCAGGCAGTCTGGGATTGAGGCTACATCCCAAGTTGTCTCCATGGCTGCCAGCTCTGGGGTCTTAGATTCGACAGCATTGAACTTACCTCACTATGATTAATAATTTATAATAATTTATAATAATATATAATTTATAATAATATATATATTATTATATATATTATATATATTATATATTATATATATATTATATATATATATATTATATTATTATATATATTATAATATATATATTATATATATATAATTTATAATAATAATTTATCATGGCTGAGTGCAGCTGCCACAAGACCCTGCCCATGTTTTTCAGGAGCATGACTGAAGTCAAGCCTCCGTGTGTGGTATACTGCTGCCATGTGTGTAATTACCTTTGGAGGGATGGGAGAAAGGTTGGGAGCTCAGGGATATGAGAAGGGATGGCATTCCCTTTCTGCTAAGTACCTCTGACATCCTGCAGTGATAGAGGAGGTTAGGACTGTGCCAGAGGTGTGGTGCTTGCCAGGAAAATCTGTGATTGCAGATAAATATATTTTTGCAAGGTCAGAGTGGTGCTGTGCTTCGTAACATCAGACACAAGGTTGAGAATACATGGCAAGTCATGTGTTCTGACTCTCAGCCCCTGGAGAGGATTGTCTGTCATAGAAGGCTCAGGACCACAGCTATGGGTGTTACTTTGTGTAACAGCTCATTTTGTAATAATGGTACTTCCTTGTTTCTTTTTTTTAATAGTATAATCTGTAAGACACCAATTAATGACAGTAAAACCTCCTTCTGTTTTTAGAAAACCCTTTACTGTCAAATAAATAATGAAATTCATCTGGTTAAAAAAAAAAATAAATCCCTGCAAAGCTTCTCCCCAGTGTTCTTCCATTCTCTTCCGAAAACTGAACCACATGGGATGCTTTAGAGGCTGGGGTTCCTCTCTGGCTTGATTTGCAGAGCAGCTGCCGCAGATAAGAGATGCCAAGATGCAGAGGGAGGGATGAATAAGGGTGGCAGGAGTGCTTTAGGGAGGCTTTCCTAGTGTTGGATGCCACCTCAGAGTGCAAAAGCCGAATCTGAAGTGCTTTGGTAGGAAGCAAATTAAACAGGTAAGAGAAGACTTTTTCAAACAGTTTCAGGAGCTTTTAGTCACCAGATGGCCTTGGGGCTTGAACAGCATCAAAAAAGGACTGGGTATCCATTTGATATCAAGTATCACAATTCCTCCAAAGATATTAAAAAATATGTCATTTTTTAGATGTAAACTGCATTGGTCTGGATCATGAATCAGTTTCTAGCAGAGAAGAATTAAGAAAATTTATCCATAAGGAGCTTATTCTGTTTCTGCCTGTGTCTGGACTTTTGCATATGTCTTTGAAATGGGATATAGGACTAGGTGGGTCCTTTGATCTGATTTCTTATCTGGTATAGTTATAAAGCCCCTACTTGCAGCTTGTCAAAAAGTCTCATGGTTAAGGCAGGCCAGATATGCCTTGAAGAAAAGTTCAAGTTTTCTGAGCCCTTTTTGTCTGTTCTTACCTTCAGGGTATACAGCATGGCCCAAACAGAGAAGAAAGGTGGACTGCTCCGGAAATCTTCAGCCTCCAAGAAGCCATTGAAAGAGAAAGTTGTGTTGATGTATGATGAGATTTTTACGGTAAGCAGTTGAGCATCTCTTCTTTGAAAATGCTGTGTTAAGTTTTCTTGGTTTAGTTTGTGCTGAGGGTTCTTTATGTGAGATTTGTTTCCCAAGGTAAGGCCTGCACAGTGTAGGCACACGCTTCAGGCTCTCCTGCTGTCATGCAGAGCTCTGTATTCTGCTCTCTTAATGTCGCTTTGTCCTGTTGTTTACCAGAACCATTTGTGATCTGTGGGAAGCCATGGCTTTTCCAGTATTTCTCAAAAAACATCTCAGTAAATAAACAGAGGCATCCCAATTGAGAGCTACTTCCGTTGGTCCTTCTGTTTCTGGGAATCCCTGTAGCCAGAATTCTGCACTGTGAGACTGCTTGGTCATCTAGTAGGGTGATGTCGACTTTGAGCTACCCATGATAATGATTTTCTTTAAATTCTGTCTGAATGATTTTTTCTTATTTGCCTTCATGGCTGTTCCTTTTCCTTTCAGACAGAGGACCCCAGTAAATGCAACCCTCGGTTTTGGGAGGAGCTATTTCTCATGAAGGTAACCAAATTTGTACATCCTCTGATTTACTGCTGCTGTTCTGCCAGTGGCAGACTGTCAGTGCAAGGACTTGTGTTTCTAAGGTGTCAGTGAGGGTGTAACATGCATGAACTGCTTCTTAACCTGACAGGTCAACCTGGAGTATCTGGAAGGCAAGCTGGAGGCTTTGGATGGGGAAGAGTTAATGAAGATAAAAGATAACATCAACTGCTTGTTTCAGCACTGCATCCAGGCCCTGGGTGAGGAGCACCCAATCAGAGTGGTCAATGCATTACAGGTACTGCTGGGAGACAGGCAGTGCTGTCTTTTCCTTCTGATGAGGCAATATATTTGCTGCTCATTTCTTTGCTTCTGAGGAGAAGTGATGTCTACAGAACAGTTGCTACTTACTGCCTGTGGAGGTTACAAACATTCATAGTCTCTTTACTCTTTGCAGAGCAATAGCTTGTTTCAGAATTCAGGAGGATCTGGTAATAGAGGATGAAGCTTATGGCAGTGAAGAGACAAGGGGGCTTGTGCACACTGCAGGCTGTCAGTTTGGGTTCTCAAGAGTGCTTACTCTGTGTAGCTTTGTTATTCTACTTTCACCTGTTCTCACTCATTTCAGCTGCATTTTTGAATTTCCATATGGGTCGAAAAATAAATAAACCTCTGGAGAAGTTAGTGTGAAATTTGTACAGGAAACTGTCCCAGCTGGACACTTCCTAATTGGAAACTGTGAACAGTTGTCACCCAGAACTAACAGCCATTTTCCTGCGGGTTTTTCCTTACCAAAGTTCTGCTGTCCCATGTCTCATATGGGAGACTCCCCTCCTCAGTCTTGATGTTTGATGTTATTAGTTCACAGGCTGATTCTTACAGTCTGATCAATGCGTTTGCTTCTCTCAGCTATAGGAGTACAGGATATGAATGTCAGGTTTGAAGAAGTTATCTGTAGTAGATATTGGACGGACAGTGAGCTGGGAAAAGTTGGTTTAAAACAGAATATTTACACCTCTGACATACAATCTTGCATTGTTTTATTATTATTTTCAGAATTAGTTTGAAAGGATGCTGTTAAATATTGTAGTTATAGCTACACAGACAGCTTAGCCCAGCCTTGAATTCCCCAACTTTTATCCAGACTCTTGGAAAAAGTTAGGGCAGGGCTAAGTCTAGAATACTGCTCTGTGTGTGTAAACTGGAGTGAGGCAACATGTCCTGAGCTTGAGTTAGGAGACTTATCCTTTAATCAGACTTTGATGTGGAAAGTGATCCTGAAGCCAAAACTTATTTAAGCAATCATTTCTGGAGAATGATTTTGCTGACCAAGGGCTTGTTTAGCCCAATATCCTGTCTCTCACAGTAACAAAAAAAAGAATGTCTACCTTATCCTTTTTCTTCTGTATAGTTCCAGATGTGTGCTAATTCCTTCAGGTCTGCTTGTCTCCAGCTTTACATCTTCTGAAACTAATTACTTCTCACAGGTGAATTTAAACTGGGATCTAAAACTGCAGTGGCTATATTGCTGCTCATTCCCCTCTTTGCAGGCCTGAGAGGTGCCTGATGATGAAAGTCACCACAGACATTTCCCTCTCTTGGGGGAAATTAGTCATGTCCATAAATTTTCCAGGGGGTCTGTTGGAAGCATGGTGTGCGGATACCTTTGTGTTGCCAGTGATCTCCAAGAACTTGGTATGATGCAGTAATCCAGTGCCTGCAACAAGAAACGTGAAGGAGGGAGTTAGGAAAGCTTAAGCTGCCTAATAGCCTTGGAGACATTTCTTTTGGTGTGTTTGTTTGCTTTTTTGTTGCTGTTGACAAAGAGACAGTTTACTGGTCAGGCTTGGTTATAGCACTGTGGTAACCAAACAGAAATTTATACTCAAAGAGAAAAACTGTGATCAAATGCATTCTTCTCCAATTTTTTTGAGTCTTCAGCATCCAAGATCTTCCTTAGAAGCAATAGAGGTGAAGGAGAGGTCAGACAAAATGTATGGCTTCCAGGCTGCTGGTATTAATTTCAATATCTGGGCTTTGCCAGTGCTAGGAGAGCATCATGCTGCAGGTGTTGCTACTGAGTTGGAGCTGTTGCCTTACATCTTACCTTCTGTTTTTTCCCTTTGCAGACTTTGTGTGCATTAATTCGGGGTGTCCATCAGAAGAACAAATCCACGTCTGGCTTTGACATCATCAACATGCTTGTGGGTTTTGATAAGGCAGAGCTATGTATGAAGGTGAGGCCCTGGCAATGTAGAGGAACAGTTTGCACAGCAGCTGTGTTGCAGGGGCAGTGATTTGTAGACACATGTGCCTACCAAGGTGCAGCTTCGAGGGGAGATATTCCAGCCACTTACTAAAAACAGCTGTCCTGAAGTTCTTTACCTGCTAGTGGCACAAAGACACTTGGGCTCCCTCAGTTCGTTAGTAATATAATAGAATAAATATTCTTTTCCTTTAGTTCTACACTGTGCAGTCACACAGAAATTAAAAAATCTTAAAGCCAGAAAAGGCTGCCACAGGCCATTAGTACCTAGTATTGAACCTCATACCTTGTACTTAGTTTTTATCTGAGTCATATCCTGGGTTCTCACATTCCATCAGCACGTGTACTGCTTTAAAATTATTTGATGCTCTTCACTGTAAAGATGTTGAGTTTGGGAACTGACGAAATAATCAGTGATGAAGCTGAATCCTTTTTGTCTCTTTCATCTCTCTACAACAGTGGCAATTTTTCTGCTCTATACAAATTGCAGGACATTGCGGAAAATATTAAGTAGTAATTTGCCTACCAGAAATACATTTTTCCATTAAGAAAACTGTATTACCTGTAACTTAGTATTTGGAAAACAGTGTTGATGAATATCTGTAAAACAGTTATATAGGATCTATTTTTAATCATAACTTATATATGTACTGTTAATTGGAGGTGTGCTGCTTACAAAAAAGTAAAATGGAATATAGAAAAAATAAAGCAGTGATATTACTGTCTTGCAAACAAAAAGGAAAATCATATTTTGTAGAGCTCAGAATTACGTTGTGAATAAAATAATTTGTTCTGTGTATACAAAAATCTCATGTATCTAGAGAAAACTCTTGGAAAATGATCGTGATGTTATGCCTGTAGTCACTAAAATGTAGTTAACACAAAACAGTGTTGAGAAACAATAGTGTGAATATGGCCTGTGTAGCAGTAATAATGGCTCAATTACTGATTGTGGAATAACATGGCTTTATATTGGTGCTCTTGTATTTGAATCTTTCAAAAAGTTGTTTATAAAAAAATATTTCAAATAATTTAAAATACTACTTTTAAATAATGCGACTGTTGTTCTTCAGAATCTGATGGAGAGCTTGGACTCACTCCTTTGTGCTGAAGGTTCTGAAAGTCTCAAAAGCTTGTGTCTGAAGCTACTTCTCTGCTTGGTGACTGTAAGTAAATACCGGCTGTATAATAACTTCAGGGATTATATGAGCCACATCTTGAGGGATGGAACTGTCTCAAAACTTGAGCAGAAGGCTGCAGTGTGAAGCTTAAGAAGGGCAAAGAAATTGTGAATGAGAACAAGGGTCAGTCCAGAATATGCATCATGGCTCTAACCACAATGCCAATGCAGACTAGAATCCTGTAAGAGAGGTGCCTGGGGCAAAAGGGGAGAGGCAGGAGGAAGTGTCAATTGGATTCACAGGTGTGGGTTTTTTTAGGGAAAAAGATATTTAACAAGTCTCAGATAAATGGAAAGAATGGGAGAGGGCTTGAGGAAAGACAGCAAGTGTGGAGTAGACAAGAATGGTGAGAATGTGAAGAATGAGGAAGTTGTAGTAAATGGCCACTCATCAGCTCTTGGACATGGTCAAATGTGAACTATTTTGACTGTGATAAGAGATAATTGAGTGTGGAGGAGGTCTTCACTGCCCTCTTCATGAGGGGGAGAGTTCTCAGTAGAACATATGTGACCTGTTTTTCGTTTTCTGCCTCCTGTGTAGAATGTGCAAGAGCTGATGGCTGTTGTCGTGCAGCTGTGTAAGATACCAATGTGTGGAGGAAAGGGGGAGCTCTTAGAACGTGGGTCATGCTTTTGCCAGAGGGAGGGGTGGGAGGCAGGACATATTTCTTTTATTTCATGTCTAGCTCTACTGGTGGTCACACCTTGACTTGCTGACTAAGTGTGAGATTCTGGATAAATGTGTCCATCTGGGAGGAGAACTCTTGTGCTTCCAGTGTGTGGCAGAGGCAGCTGCAGCATCAGTGGAGGCTTTGTGTGGGATTTTAAACCTTTTGTTTGTTCTCAGGTGACAGATAACATTAGTCAGAACACCATCCTGGAGTATGTGATGATTAACAGCATATTTGAAGCTATTTTACAGGTAAGGGTTCTTCCTTCACTGCAGGAGCTCTTCTTCCATAGTGAGAGCTTTCAGTGATGTATTTGCTTTTCAGCTTTAAGCAGCACAGCTCACTGGCACTGTTGTTACTTCCATTCGTAAGTCAGTCATATATATTTCTTTTAATGCTGTCTCCTCTGTACTCTAGTGTGCTGTTTTTAGTCACTACTGAGTATTTATTTTCACTTGAGACATTTCTGCACAGATAGAAACCAAACAGATTTCTGGGCTAATTTAGCAGAGAATTTCTGTATCAGAGAAACTTTCTTTCAAAAGGCAGTGGGGATATATCAAGGTTTTTTCTGCTCTTTGATAAAAATATAGTTTTTAGAAGTAGAACTGAGCTTGGGGAAATCCAGAAAACTTGCACAAGTAATGTTGGTGATTCAGTGAGATACTGTTCAGTGCTGTTGAGAAATATATTTGCCCTTTATGTCCTGAAAGCCTAGTTCATTCTTTCTGTGATAAATAAGCTTCTCTGTGTGCATAACTTCCTGGAGATGCTGACAATCCCTTGACCTTAAGTACCCTTTTCCAGATAGGACATAATTTGCTCTTACACATACATTTCATGGGTATGCACTTTCTGAGAGTCACTGCAAGCTTCCTGAAGCAGGCCTGAACAGACCAGTGTGATTGTTTATTCCAGATCCTGTCCAGCCCATTGAGTCGCAGGGAACATGGCTATGATGCTGTTGTCCTTCTGGCCTTGCTGGTCAACTACAGAAAGTATGAGGTAAGTGCCTTCTGGATAACAGAAACATTACTTCTCTCAACTTTATTAATTTAGGCTGTATTATTATTAAGGCAGCACACAGTACAGTTTTAGCACTGCATGCTGTTACATTTATCAGGACATCAGCACGGAGCTGCAGAAGCTTTGCAAGGCGGTCCTGTTATGCTGTATTTGTCTCTGATGTACATCTATAATCAAGTGTATATGATATTCCTACAGCTCATTATGCACCAGCATGAAAGAAACTACCTAGGGAATTTGCATTTCCTTCGTAGAAACATTCTGAGGAAGGTCCTTTTGGAAGAGTTACTGTTGTGCCAAACCAGCGTGTTTGCCTCTGTGTGTGTGAGTGTGCAGTTATACATATTCTCCAAAGTTAAATGGGCTGTCAGTCATCTTGGGCTTCAGACTGAATTTGTGATTCAGAACCTGACTAGCAGACTGAAAGAGCACAGATTCCCAGAAGAGATGGCGAAGCTGTGACCAAAGAATGAACTGAAACATCACAGCTAGTATTTCCAAGAGAAGTCTCTCTCTGTCTCTTTGACAGATTCCTCTTTGAGGAACTTTATTCATCTTCCTTTTTCTAAACCAGTTGTACTACTTTGTGGTGTATTCCCATTTTTTCCTGCTATTCATCACCTTGAAAAAGAAACATTTTGACTGTTGGAAAAACACCTGCTGTTGGCTTTTCTTTGCATGAGGGCATGGTGCTTTAATGGTCAATTGTTTTTTGTTTTCCCAAGCAGGAATACCTTAATATACAAAATGGGAAAGTTCTAGAATGCCCCTTCTTGAACTGAATTACTAGGAGGGACAGGCTTCAAAACCTACCTGTTTTTATAATGGATCTTGTTTTGAATTATGAATAGATCTAGAGAATATGCGAAGACAGGAGCTATACTTGGTGTCAGAGTAATGCCTGTCAATTTCTCATTCCTGTCAATGTTGTCAGAATCGTGAATTACAGGTTCTGTTCAGCGCATGGAACAGGAGCCTGGAGTTTGATTTCATTTTATGGCTATGAGGGAAAACTGCTGGCAATAACATGACTAAGGGTACTGATGGGGGCAGACTGGAAAGACCAGAGGTCTCCTTGCAAAGTTCAGACCAAAAGGTGGAGAGCTGTGTAGTCCCATCCCTGTGGAATACAGCTTATGTCCTTTGTAAGGTAGAGTGCAGTGAGTACATGAAACTTGTCCTCTGCTCTTTGCTGTAGCTTTCTGTGGAGTATTGAGTTGGAGTTGAGTGCTTTGGAGAACACTGTCCTAGATGTCTTGAAATTTGGCACTCAAAGGAAATTGTGATCCTTAAAAAGTACAATTCAGCTGAAGCAGATGTGTGGCAAGGGAAACTTCAGCTTGAGCAGTTTATCTGGCAAGGCTGAAAGCAACTCCCAGAAAGGTTTTATGTGACAATTGCCCAACACTGCCCTTTGTAGCAGTGCTACAAGCAAAGCCTGTAGTAATGCAGTCAGACTCTTTCTCCTTAAGTACAGTAGCTGCTTTCATTTGCTGTTCTTTGGCCTTTAGAATCATTCTGGTGGTTGCCTGGTTGTCAATGTATTGTAGCACACTTTTATGCCTCAAATGCTTTGAAATTTTCTTTTTAGCTAACTGTGCTGCAGCTGATAGGTTCTCTTTTTGTCTGAACTCCATTGGTTGCTAATTAGCCAACTGATTTCGTGTGTATTTTTAGTGTGAATACCAGTGTGTTTTGCATCAGAATGTTCTTTCATATTTTTGGGATGTGAGTTTTGTAGTCTTCTCTCAAATTGTCTGGCAGCATGGAGTGTATCCAACAGCTCTTTGTGTCTGGTTATGTGCACTTGCCTCTCCTTGGTATAGACAACTGCGGGTGCTGAAGAGACACAACACTGGGGAGTTGGAAAGTTCATGGGTTTTTTTGTTTTTATTAAAAAAAAAAGATCACGCATAACTGAAATTATTTTAAACAAATCTCTTTAACAAAAAGAGTAATTACTCAAGCTTCAGTTCCCTGCAGAATGACCTGCTGAATCATCTCTAATGAGTGTTCAGCAAAAGCTCTTGTGAGGAGTGATTGGGTGGACTCTGGCCTTCGTTTCTGTTACAGATGTGAAGATAAGTTAAGTACCCTAGTAGGGATTATACATGATTAGCTTGGTTTTTTTCTGCTTTCTTTACCTACCTAAAAAATTACTTCTCATAGATTTGTGTTAAAGGTCTCAGAGATGTGTTTGGGGGCATGGAGGAGATATCTCTCTCTCTGCCAGACTTGTGTACTTTCCCATACAATGCTCACTTTGTATGCCATGTCTCTCCTGAGGATTACTTTAAAAATGACCTGGTAATGATCCCTCTGCAGCTTTATTTCTATGAGATTGTTGGCATCTAGTGATGGGTAGTTCATGGAGGACATCTCAAGTATTCCCAGATTCCAGGAGTTTGTGTCTGTATATCACGACTGACAAGAAGATCTCTATGCTATTTTTTGTTTGTTACCTGATGGCAGTGATAGGAAAAGACCTGTGCTGTCTGAAAAGCTCAGAATCATATTTCTGAGTTCTTTCTGTCTGCAGGTAGAGGCAGAAACTGACAATTTGAAGCTTTCCAAATGCTTTTTAACTGCTTTCCAAGGCTGTTGCATGTCTGTGCATGTTGTGGAGTGGCAGGTGTAATTTTGACTTTTCACATTTCTGCTATGATTCCTGGTGAGAGGGGAACTGAACTCTGAAACAGCAGGATTAGAACAGGAAAGCAGGCAGGGAGTATGGGGTGGGTTTGGTTGTGGTGCTTGTACAACTTGCAGGTTGCTGACGCTCATCATAGATGTGCAGACCAGTGCTCATGGACAGTACCTGGAGCTGTGGGCTCTCAAGGAGGAGCACGAGCAAACTGCATGTCCTGTGGGCAGCATGGGAAAGGTTCCCATCACACTGGTACAGACTTGCATACCAGTGCAGTAGAGACTGCCTTGTCCCACACACCCCATACGGTGTGTGAAATACACTGAAATCTGCCTGCTGCTTGAGGAGTTAGGGAAGCCTAGAAGGAGGCATGGAATGTGTCAGGGGAATGGAATACTTCAGAGAGGAATTGTTAAAAAGACTTCTGCAAGTGTGGAAGTGACAACTGAGAAGACAGAGGGCAGAGATCCGTAGCAAGCTGGGCCAGCTTCATGACCTTCTCAGCCGTGCACTGCTGGCATCTTGCTGTCAAGAGGCGGGAGACATGGAGCATGCATCTTGGAAAATTGAGGACAGTGGGAGTGTGAAAAATTGTTCACAGGCTGGAGATGACAAGGAACAACCTACTCTCCGTCCCTCTCTGTTGATGGGACTGAGTGTATGAGTAGGTGTCAGGTCAGCCTGATGGTGTTGGTCAGTGTAGTATCTCCCAGTTCGCTTATTCCCACATCTGGGAATTTGGGTAACCCCGCAGCCTCTAATCCAGGGTAGCCAGGGGCCATTGCCTGGAAAAGCCCCATCACTTTTATTGGTCATGAGTCACAGGCTGGCCTCTTCTGTGCATAAGCTGTTGTGTGGGAAGTTTCTCCCTGTTGAATGACTGAAATCAGCAAAACTAAGGTATATTTACAAGGATGGATTTTAATCCATATTTAATTATGACTTTGTGATGTTTGCTTCTGCTCCACAGACATTGCCTAAATTTAATTTCTGAAGGGGAGCATGGTTGTACAGAGAGGACCCCATATTGTTACTCCATAGGAACCTTTACTCCAGCCTCAAGAAAATGTCTTTGCATGGTTCATGCACGGCTGGGTTCTGTGTGAGTTTTGTGTCTTTTTCTGAGGCAGTGGCAGGGCTGGATGCTGCTGGAGGCAGCTCAGAGGCTGGCTGAGCTTTTGAACTGTTCTGATCAATTTCTTTTCTGATCCAAAGAGAAAGACTGATCCTCCCAAAGCACCAGGTAGCTGAGAGTGGTGTTTTCTGATCAGCCTTATTTTTAACTTGCTGTCAAGCAACTGATGCGTGTTTTGTGTTTTATTCTTCCCATCACTTTGGGCTTACTACACAGACTGAGACTTTTCTTCCATGTCTTGGTTTGAAATCAACTTTTTCTAGTTTTGCACTGACACATATAAACTGGGAAAAACAAATGTGCGTTGCTAATCTAAAATGCTTCCTAAATTATTAGCATTTATCTTTATAGATGGAGTCTGCATGCTTTGTTCAGCTAAGTTCAAGGAATTTGTATTCTCCAGAGACTTCCAGCTCTCAGTGGTGTAAACAAAGTGTTGATCTCTAACCCAGCAGCAGATGAGTCTCTAACATTGCCTTCCTGGGTCCTCCTTCCTTTAAGCAATCTTTGTAAGGTGTTGCAGAAGGGAGATAGCAGAACGCTGATGTTCCATCGCAGCTTCACTGCCTGTTCCTGCTGCATAACAGTGTGTGTGTCACAGATAACAAGCTTGCAGGACAGCTGCTCCACTTTCAAGACTGACAGATGAGCTTGCAGAGGAGCAGAAACTCCTGTTCTCAATAAAACTGGGAGACTGCCTGGCTGAGCCAGTAGGAGAAGGTGTCCCAGGCACAGCAGCCTTAGCATGTGCTGCGACTCCTGTTTCTTTGTGTGTATTCTACTTTACGGGACGGGAGACAGATTTTTCCCAGGTGGTTGGGTAAACTTGAAAAGATAATAGTGTTTTTTTTCCTGAAGGCTGAACTTACAAGCAATTTTCTTTCTTCCTTCCCCCCCTCGCGCTGAGCAGTCAGTGAATCCCTACATTGTGAAGCTCTCCATCGTGGATGATGAGGCCACGCTCAATGTGAGTACTTGACTTGATTCCTCTGTGCTGCTGGGGATGCTCTTTATGTGTGGTGTTAGTGGAATGAATGCAAGCACAGTGTATTGTAGAAATCAGATCTAGGAACAGTGCTACTCTGAGAAACACCAGTACAGGAGTTGTTCAGCCCTAACTGTACTCTTGCAATGGGTTAGGGCGCTCCTGATTTGGACAGTTTGATCACCAATAAATGGTGGGGGTGGTTAAAAAGCTAGGTAGCAAGAAACATGCTTAAAGTTGATCTGCTATACATTTATGAACTACCTATACACTATTTGCTGTCACATGCCAAAGAGGCACACGATGGCGTATGCCAGAGATCTCATTTCCAGTGCTATGTCACCGATTTTACCAGTCCACAAGTCAGTTCTTGTAGCTCAGTGGAAGCTTGTATTTGAGTCAAAAGTCCTGCAACATATTTTGGGTTGTAGCCACAGTCTTAAGTTTTGTAGCCTGGCCTGGATAAAAAGTGACAGCACACTGAGCTATGGAGGTCTGGACTTGGAAGCTGTTCTTTAGGCATGAAGTAAAAAGCAAGCTCCGTGCTAACTAAAGGGTGATTCTGAGTTAATTAAATTGGCTTGACAGAAAGGATGTTCAGTAGTTGTGGAATGGTGGAGGCTGTTTGCAAGAAGTTAAAGGTTACTAGTGTTTATGGCTCTTGTTTTGAATTTTTGGATGTCTTTCCTCTGACACCATCTTCCGGCTGAAGCACTTGGTGTTTTAATGAAGCTTCTTGAGTGAGTAAGCTGTCTGGAGATCCAAGGAGAGTAAATGTTCTCTGTTGAACTTAGTAATTAAATATATAACTTTAAATTTTGGTGTCTTGATTTTTGGTTTGTAATTTTGTTGTATCGTAGCATGTCTTAATAGTTCAGACATCTACAAGGGAAATTCTTCATAGCATGCTAGGTTATCTGGGGGGGCAGCATTGCTACGTGTGTTCAGTGTGTGATTTCCTCCCTTGAGATTTGTAATGTGAAGTTTTTTTAACACTTTTTTCAGGGAATGGGACTTGTAATTGCCCAGGCTTTATCGGAATATAACAGGTAAAACCTAATTGTGTCTTATTTTTCAGTACAGGATAGTTGCTGTACATTTTCACAAACATTTTTTTGTGTGTTGAAGCACTTGTTTATCACTTAATAGGCTTGATGCACCCAGAGAGGCAGGGAATAGTCCTATGCTTTAGGATACTTTGGCTCAGTTGTTGCTGTCATTGCAAGAGTGAATCCATCTCTACCAGCTGGGCTGATGTGCTTCAGGAGAGATCTTGCTCTAGGGGAAGATATCTGTTGTATGTTTTTATTGTCATGGATTTTACCTCTCTATGAACCTTGTGTAAAATCTTAGTTCCAAAGGAAAAGATCAATGATTTGCTGAGAACTTCTCTGTTAGAAAATGGATTTAACTGAAACACTATCTAAAACAAACAAACAAACAAATGTATCCAGGCCTGTCCACATGCCAGATCAGAGGTGATTAGGGCATGCATGTGCTTCCAAATGGTGGAAAGCAGTAACTGCTGCTGAAGAAAGAGCCAGAAAGTCAGCAGCAGGGTAGCATGTTCTCAGCTTCATATACAACAGCTCAAAATGTGTACATTTTCCCAAGAGGAAAGTGCTTCAGAAGAATTTAGAACTTACAGCAATTTTACCGGAGGAACACATGACATTTTTTTGTGCAGTAGGATTCTCAAAGTATCCAGAAAAATGTTTTAATTCCTTTGGAAGTCTGCTGTTGTAGTTATGCAAGTGACTTGCAAGATCAGCAAATCATGTATGTAACAGAGTAAATTATCAGAGTAAAGCAGAAAAAGCTCACCCACCCAACTTCCTTCATTGTGACAAAAGCTGTCTCAGACCATGGCCTGTTTTGCTTAGCTCAGTGCTTTCTTTCCCCCTTTTCCAGATATTTAGAATTGCTTACTTTGCATATTACATCATGTATGGTGAGATTCCTGTATGACAGACACAATAAATGGCCATGTGAGCTTTTCTAGTGCGTTTGAATGCCAAATGTAGCAACGTAGCTTAAATCTGAGGTACCCAACCTATACCTTGACTTCAGTTCCAGTCTCTTCACTTGCTCCAGGAATGTGGGATCAGGCAAGACCAGGCCATGAACTATAATGGTCTGCGTGGTTTCTGCTGGCCCTAGGGTGGCCAACTCTGATTTGGTCTGTAGCAGATAATTGAAATGAAACTGTTCTGTGGTTACTGACTCTGTTGCTTCATGTGGTTTATTACTGTTTTTCCAGTGCAGGACAAAATTTCCTAAGTCACTTGAGTACTTTCCTTCAGTGTTAGCCCAGGCTGCCCATGTCCTCTGTAACAGCACAAGCATTGTTCAACTCTCACGTCTTTCAGCAACCCCAGTTCAACTCTACACAATTTACAAATATTTTAATACCCTTTGCATCTTTTGTGAGTTCTTGAAAAAGGCTTGTGAATGTTGAAGCTTCTTCCATCCTGTATACTTATCAGATAAGACTATCTTACAGTGATTTAGGTAAAATAACCCTAGTTCCATGAATAACCCTGAAACTTCATCCTTATTTCTTTTTGTTCAGGCAATACAAAGATAAGGAAGAGGAGCATCAGACTGGTTTCTTCTCAGCCCTAACTAATATGGTAAGCAAGGAAACAGTATTTTTTCTACTCTTAAAATAGGTGTCTTCATGCAAGTTCAGCAGGAGGGCACTTCTGTAAACTGTGTGTTTGGGATGTGGGTTCTGCAGGCGTGGATTGAACATATCCAAACCAAATACAACTGAAATGGCTGTATTCTGAGGACTGTGTTGTTGTCTGGCTGGGAAAGCTCTTTCAAAGGACAAGATCTCTATTCTGGTGTTGATAATTGAAATTGTTTTCCTGCATCATTGTCATTCTAGTTGACTTTATTTTAAAAATCACTTGAAAAAACCTTTTAATCAGTTTTTTAAACTTCTTAATCACTTTCAAATGGCTACTTGTTTTTTAAAAAAAGTTGCTGCTCTGCTGATGTGGCCTAGAACAGAGTGGCACAGTCTGGGCTGTCACTAGCTTTAGAGGTTCTGTTTCTTTACTGTCTTGTTTCTCAAGTCTGGGTGTACTGAGTGACCACAGAGTAAGCTTGGATTCCGCAGTGGGCACTGTCTGCATTTTTGGAGGGTTACCCTTCAATGACAATTGTGAATTTCTTCCTTGTGAAGAGTATCCACTGTTACCCTTGTTCAGTTTGGCCTTGCTTTCATCTGACATTTAATTGTAGTCTGAGATCTAACTGACAGGAAAATTTCCTTCAAGTAAGGATAGTTCACTGTTAACGCTGTCTGTCAGGAGTGACTTGGGTGAAACTGCTACCACTCTGGGGCAAGCAGATAGGAAACAATCTCTGTTGTCCTCTTGCAGAATGGCAGACTAATCCAGGCTGGGATCCAAGGTCCAGTCCTTTTTGTTTTCCTTTTTTTGTTATTTGACAGGTGAAGAATTGGTCAGTGACAGGACTGCAAAATCAAATCTGTTTGTATCCATGTATTCTCTCTTGTTGTCTAATAGCTTTCCCGAATTCCTGCTGTGCAATGCTCTCTCTTTCCATAGGTGGGCAGCATGTTCATAGCAGATGCTGATGAGAAGATCTCGGTCCAGTAAGTGCACAAATGTTAGTTACACAATGAGCTGGTCAGCGTGATCCACTCTGTCATGGAGCTGTTCTAATGTCCCACAGCAAACAACAGGGGCAGGTTCTCTTGTCACTAAAATAGTACCACACCACTGCAAACTGGATTCTCCCTTCAGTGGGCAGGGTGCAGCAGGAGGAGCCACAGCTGAATTGCTTGTAATGAAGTCTATAAAAAAAAATGCAGTGGTTTTTATGGGGCATTTATAACATATAATAGGCATGTTGGAAGTGGCACATGGAAAGTGATAATTCACGTACTCTTGTCCCCACCAAAATATTTTCTAAATCAAGGGGGCAGGTGATAAATATGAGGGGTTTTGGTGTCTGCAGGACCCTCTGCCCTTAAAACAAAGGACTTTTAAGGGAAAGCACTGTTTGAGCAACGAGGGACACCTTCAGCAGGAAGGGAACAAAGTCTGTAGTTGAGCTCTAAAAATAGCAATTTTTATGCATTGCTGAATACTACTAATAATCGGAATACAATACAACTGGATTGCAGAGGCAGAGTTTTCTGTAGTTAAAAAAAAATTTTCTTTTTTCAGATAGGCCTTGCTTCTGAACAACTTGGCTTCTGGTATTCTGATCACTAACTGTGCCTTTTGTCTGTATCCTCCCCACAGAACGAATGAAGCAATCCTTCTGGCCCTCTATGAAGCTGTTCACTTAAACCGGAATTTCATCACAGTTCTGGCACAGGTGAGTTTCAGTGGAATGTTTCCCCATTTCTTTGTAGTGCATGTGTTTGAAGTTAGAGAGTCAGAAATGGAATTGGTGAAAAGATGTACGCCCCTGCGTACTTGTCATAGGATCAGCATGAAAGATCAGACTCAGGCCAGGGCCTGAGAAGCATTTTAGGAAATGCCTCCTTCCTTGACAGAAAATCAGTAGAGTTTTGAGGTCACAGTTCATGCTGGAATTATTTGTTTTTCCCACTAAATGGGAAGGGCTGCATGGAGTCCCTTCTGTACTCTACTGAGTAGACTTAGGGGGAAGATGGAGTGAGTGAACTAGTAGGGATAAGGTAGCTGCAGCTCTTAGAGCAAATCACACTTTTGTTAAGTTAATATTGAGAGAAAGAGACTGATTCAGCTCCAAGCTTGGATGAGTTGTCCTGTATGGGTGTGCACAGACTGTGTGATGTTGTCTGTTTTGCCCAACTCGTTTTGCTTGGGAACCTGTTGCCAGAGCATAGCACTTGTCCTTGTGCTTTTTATGGTGGAGAAACAGCTATGGCAGCCTTCTGAGGAGCAGTGGGCTGCTCCATACCTCTGATCACAAAGCTCTGGATGCTTTCCTAAACACTGTGTGAGTTTGCAAAGGTGGTTGTTGCTGGAAGGCAGAAAATGAGTCTGATCTGGTGATCGGGCTGTGGCTGGCTGCAAAAGTAGTGTGATGTGTTTAGGTAAACCTTCAGGTTTAGGCTTTTAATTTTGGTTTCTAGGTATTGGTATTAATCTGTGAGAAAAACATCAGCAAAACAGTTAGCACCTTTCCCCAGTTATTTCAGGTCCTCAGAGAGCAGCCATACATCACAGGCTAGACACTTGGCATGATGGAGGAGACCTTTGAGGACTCCTGACAGTAGTGGTGGTGGAAGAGGTCTGATAAGCAGATCTGCAGCCTCTGAAGAAAGCTCCTGTTTCATGCACGGTTAATTTGCTGAGGTTCCCTGCCTGTCTTTTCCCAGGTTATTCATTCCTACCACTTGTGAGAGATTTCTGCTCTTTCAGTTCTGTATAGTACCAACTCAGGCCTTTCTGTGGTCAAGATATTCCTGAGGGAAGAGAGACCTTTGGCAGGGAAAAGAGTAGGGCAGAAAAAGATCACATAGAGTAAAAGCTCTTAAAAATAAAAGGATAGACTAGTTATTTGTGAAAGTAATAGCTGAAGCAGCCACTGATCAGTGGGTTTAATTGATGTGGAGGCCTGATGATCTTGGGTGGATTGTCTGTAATCCTTCATTTAAGAGAGGGCAAGGTAGGTCATGTCATGTTGGAAAAACCTCATAAAAGCTGATGAATGCTCTTGCCTAAATTGGTGCCCATTGCTTGGCACTGCATGAATGGCTCCTTGCTGCTGTGTGACACATGGGAAGAGCAGGGATGCAGTTGTGTGGATGTACGGAGCAATAAGGTTTCCATGTGCTCACCAGCCATGGGTGCTCAGGTTTGCTGCTGGGTGGCACTCTTGTCTCTCAACTACCAGTTACTGTTCGGGATAAAGAAGGAAAACTCCCAAAATCTGTGGAAGCAAACCTGGCTTATGTAAGACTTACAGTAAAAAATTGTGTTTTAAAGTTTAAGTTAAGACCTATAGTGATGTAAAATTGTCTTTGAGTTGTAGTATGTGTGTCTGTGCTTCCCATAAATTACATGCATTTATAGTTGCTCATAAATGAGATATTCAGAGGCAGCGTGGAGGACATCCACTTGTGAAAAATCCTATGGAACGAATGTCAAATCAGCAGTTCTATATCTTTCTTTTATTTTGAAATTGCGATGATATATTAAAGCAGATGATACATTTATGTAAAACTTGCCCTATGAAATGGACACTTTGCTTGGCAGCCAGACTCAAAAATAGCAGATTGCCTATGCTCTCGCCAGTGTGTGGATAGATCCGGAAGCTTGCAAAGAGTAAAGTCAAAGCAGCTGGGCAGGCAACTATTAGCAAAGATGGAATGGGGAGAGTAACTGACTGATGGAAGCTGAGAGCATCGATAATGATAGTCTTATTTATGTTATCCACTCCTGTCCTGCAGTGCCTGGGCTTTATAGTGAGACAGGAAAGTAATATATTGCCATCATCTTTGAATATGAACGGGGGGGGGGCAGGAGTGAGGAGAATTTGCTTTTAGAAAGAGAAATGACAGTATCTTGGAGGAAGACTTCAAATGCACATCCTTGGGTTGTTTTGGGGGAAATCAGAAGCTATAAGCAATGTAGGCTTCTGCAAATCTTTTCCCATTCTACATGGGAGTATTTTCTGTCTGCTGGAGAGAGCCAGCACTTTCTGATGTATTTTTGTGTTTTGGGGAATAAAGAAATTGATATACTGTTTAACTGTTAGATGTCCAAGGTCAGGAAGCATGGCCTGGCATTTTGGAAGAGAGGCTGAAGTTTGTTGAGACTTCATTAGTCATGTCTGTGTGAGGCTATGGAACAGTACAAGTAATGATCTGTGTTTCCAATGGCTGGGGAAGCTATTGACCTGTGCATGTGTGTTTCCTGTTAGAGCCATCCTGAAATGGGCCTGATGACAACACCAACAAGCCCAATTCCAATGACACCCGTCACTCCACTTGGAACCACCCCGCCTTCTTCAGATGGTAAGAAATGTAATGATCTCCTGGGGAAAAATTATTGAAAACTGTAAAATAACTAGCAAAGTATTTTCTCAAGATGGCAACTAATGAGATCTGTCTGGAGCAGATGTAACCTGATGGTCTCCTCCTGAAGCGACTTGCCTTACTGAAAATGGGCAAGATTCTTTGACTCAAATTTGTTTGTTTCATTGTATATTGCTCAATGAAATTATGCTGATATTCCTTCTGAAAACAGTACTCTCCCAATATCTGCATGAAGATACAGCCAGCCCATTAGTTATTCTGTGTGGGCTTTTACTTATGAATATTTCTAGTGTCAGGTCCTTTGCTTGGGATTATTTGTCATTGGAACAGATTTACAGAGAATTGCAGTGGATTCCTGCTTGTCATTAATGCAGTTATCCTCAGCTTTGAATTAATTGGGATTTGAATTCTGTTTAGGTGTGGAAGTATTCCTCCCTCTTACTGCCTTTTCTCTGATAGGCGTTGTAAGAGACTGCTTACCCCAAGATCTTTCTTTGAAATGAGAGTTACAAGTCCACATAAATATGTATTGCAATCTCCTAAAATAAAACCCTTGCAATTTAAGGTATGGATAGATAGAGCCTAGTTTAAGAGAAGAAATTAAATGGCTGTTGTCATGTACTTTAATGGCATGCTCTAGAGCTGAAGAAAGTGTTTAATGAAGGAACAGAGTCAATTTGAATAGAGCACAGTTTGGAAATATTTCTGGGGAAAAGCAGCCTGGGTTACTCAGTTGCATCAGCTATTCAGGTCATTTGATACCCTAGTTAAGGATGATCCTCCTCGGGATGAATTCTATCTGGTTACCATGGATAACAAAAGCTTCAGATAAAGAGTCCCCTATGTCTCAAGTCTCTGTGTGCATGTAACATGAAATGTGGAGGGACGGGCATTTTGTGGGCTTGTGTTCAACGTGTTCATTGCAAATGTATCCGCCCACACACCGTGTTACACAACTGACAGAATTTGTGCTTACCTACATCTATGGCTTGCTTGCACTCTTTTTTTTTTTTCTTTTTTTCATTTACCAAAAGACAAACCAAAATCAAAACAAAAACTCCATCCTGCTTTAAGCAGAGGCAGTGATCTTGTAAAGTTCAAGGCTTCTTGTCGCTTGCAAGGCTACTAAATTTAAGAAGAGGATCTGATCTTCATGTGCAGCAACTACATCGGGAGGCATTCTGTATTTCTGTTTACTGTCACCTTGCTGATCCCTGCTCTCAGTGATAATTTTTTTTATGACTCTCAGCTTGGTTTAGTTTGGCGATGCTTCAGTATTGCTGTTATTTTAAAAATATGTCAGAATTTTCCTCATTTTCTAAGGTCTTGCAACGCAGATGTAAAATTTGCCCATGGCTGAAAGTTAGCAAGAGGCTTTTTGGCTTTGGAATGAAAAGATTGCTTTCTTTTTCCTGCATTAAAAAAATGTGTAGTTGAACTGTTTTCAAGTTACAATAACATGTAGAAATCCCTCTATGGGTTTCAGGCACTTTTCTTTTGTGCTGACTGGGATTAAAAATGGGTTCATATTCTGGTTTGAAATTTCTCTCGCTGTTAGCCTATAGTGTGAATTAAGACCTTGTAAAGTTTCAAAATGTGTGTTTAAAAAAAACCACCAAGGTCTGTAGCATGAACCAGGATAAGCAGGGATGTGTTCTTCAGAGTGATTTCTTTTTTTTTTTTTTTTTTTCCCAAAAATGAGACTTGCTAGAAACTGTTGATCCATAATATGTAAATCAGGTGTGGCTGTCACCATAGTTATCTAAATGTCAGTTTGCTTACTGTTGTTAAATATTCATTCACTATGTTCATTGTAACAGCTCAAGAAGGACCCACTGGGGATATAAATACATTTTTCAGACTTTTAGCTGAATCTTTGAGCTATTCATAATATTGGGAATGAAAAAGCTTCCAGTCTTATTGCATAGACTTTGCCAACAGACCTGGCATGTTTGCAACGTGTCAGGAGCCCCAGGGCATCAAGCCTGAATGGACTAAACCAGCTCACACTTGGGGATGTGCAACTTTTAGAAGTTCAAAGCCCCATTATGATTTTTTTTTATGTGGTTCAAACAGTGAAGTTACATTGATCTATTTGACCTGTTGTTTCCAAGGGCTACAATTTTGTATTCAAGGTGATTGTATAATCCTAAGTTCCATGAGAACCTCTGCTGTGTTCTGGGCCTCTCTGTGCTCAGTTTAAAGAATACTGCATTTTACTGCTGGTTCATCTCCTTCATCCTTCTGTGCCTGTCCTTGCCCCAGTTCCAGGGGGGTAACTAAGCCTCACTTGCCTCATTACAGGGTTATGAGATACAAGCCTTGAATTGTGAAAGGCATTGCATGTTAAAGCTGACTTTTCTCTGAACCAGAACACAGTTGTGTACAGGATCAAAGTACTTCCCTTCAGAGTTCCCAACCTAGACATCCAACAATCATTTATAAGTAATTCCTCACTTCTTGCAAGGTTCAGTCTCATCATAAATACCTTTTTCTTTCCTCAAGAGTGAGAAAAGCCTTGGGTGTTCCTGAGGATAGATGGAAAAGAGATAATATAGTTCTTAAGATGTGTCCTAGTGGTCTGTAGATCTGTTTCCAGTGCAAAAGGAGCCCTATCTCAGGCTATCTCTATAGCTTGAGAAGAGAGAGAGCCTTCTGACAATTGTAATTCAAGCCACCTGTGACCTCCTGCATGTGAAAACCTGTGAGTTTGAGCTCCTAAGCAGCCAGAACAGCCATGTTATTGTCATGTATGTAGAGCTGGAAAAGATCCCCTAGACTGTTAGTGCCCTGTGCTCACAGGCATATCCATCCCTTACATTTATTGAACTCTGACTTAATTTGTTTCCCATTAATTTCTATTGGGGGCAGTTTCAGTTTTGGTTAGAAATCTTCAACTTTGCAACCTGCATTTCTTGTCAATTCATACCCATTTCTCTTGCTGTTAACCTCCCTTTGAAACACAGCTCTTTTTCGTACATTGGGTAGTCACCTATGTATTTTGCTGTCTCACAAGAAGGGTACTCTTTTCCTATGTTCCACCTGCTAACCTTTCTCTAATATTCTTCAAGTTTAAGCTCATCCTCTTTGAACATGGGTTCTGCATAGTTATGGAAAATGTTTGAGACAAGGTCTCACCAGCACCTTGTGCCAGGCATTACAGTGTTCCTGTCTCTGCTGGAAGTGCATTTCTGGATATGCTGTAGAACCACTTGTGTTGGTAGCGTGTCATCTCATGATCTGATAGTGTATCATGGTAGTTTGTTGGCAGCTGATGAGCTCTCGGTTTGCCATGGAAATAAATCCCTGAATTCCTGACCCTATGGCTTACATCGTTGAATTTCATGTTGTATTTATTATCTGTTCTTGTTTTTATTCTTTGTGCACAGTCTGATACTCCTCTGTGTTTACATGTCCCAACTTCTTGCAATTAGCAGATTTCACAGAATATTCTGAGTTAGAAGGGACCCACAAGGATCATCGAGTGAATGGTCCATATGAGGACTGAACTTCACAACCTTGATGCTTTTAGCACCATGCTCTGGATTCATTAGCAAGCAACTGTTTCTTGTGCCCAGGTTACTCACAAAACCGAGAACTATTATCTAAAGTGACACCTAAGAAATTCAAGCAGTAGTTTCTTCTCAGACTAATAATTTCTCCAATTGCTTCTCCTTTACCAGATCTTTGATGTAGGTTAAATTTAAGTATTGCTTCCCACTTATCTGCTTCACTCTTAATTTTTCATACAGAACTGTATTAAGTACTTTACTGAAGTCTTCCTAGACTACCTCCATCAGTTTGGGGTTTCTTTTGTCTGAGCTAATTTACCTTAAATGGTATCAGACTGGCAGGATCTGCAGGTAAATGCATGCTGCATTTTTACCACTTACCTTTTTGCTCCTCCCTTTCAATATTTCTCATAAAGCTTTTTGAATGGGAAGGCTGAGAATGGCCCTTTAGGACAGCTCGGGCACAGTCATCAGTAAAAAATGTGGCTCAGTCACATGATAGGGGTTTGACAGCTCATAAACTCTGTGCTTCAGATGGTGTGCATGGGGAGTGAGCAGGAGGCACATTGTGCAGTTAGCTGAGGAATTGAGATGGCTTCTTGTGAAGTCTAAGGCAGATGATGTCCACTGTTAAGATGTCAAAAGTACAGCTGGTGTCCCAGAGAAATGCCAATGAACTGCTGCAGGTATGGAAAGTACATTTCTGCTCCCTGCTGGGTTGTGATGTATCTAGCACAAGCTGTGACTGCTTTTGCTTCTTGATTTTTATAGAGCTGATCTTTCTGCATCCCTTTTCTACGGCTTTGGTCAATAGTTGTTACATTATATCTTGTGTGTCTTATCTGCTTTGTTCCAGTTATAAGCTCTGCAGAACTACCTTTGGATGCTGATGTGCAAACCAGCAACCTGCTGATAACCTTCTTGAAGTACAGCTCGATTGTGATGCAGGACACAAAAGGTAAATGAATTCTGTGGATGCAGCAAACAGTGCTTCTTGAAGTGAGGAGGTCACAAGAACATGTCTAAGTGACTCCAGAAATAGAAGTGAACTGGAGTCCCTTTAAAGGAATTCCACCTTTTGGGAAAATTAAGAGATTTCTTATTGCGAGATAAGAGTTATGAGACTAGGAGAGACCTAATGCTGGCAGGAAAGATGTCAAGTATGGAAAGAATCTAATAATAGATTATAGTACCTAATAACCAAGCCTGTCCAGATGCAGGAGGTGTGAGCATATGATTCCCAACTGTCAGAGAGGGGGAAGTCTCAGACACCAGAGAACTGTACTTTAAGGAACACTTAGAAACTGACACAGGAGGTAAAGCTCAGCATTGGGAGGAAATATTTCCTTTGTCCTTTAATATTTAGTGGTTAAACATGTAGCTATGTAATTGTAAAGAGAGCAGCAGTAACTTACACTGCACTGGCAGTAATTTGCTTGAGAAAGTATCTTTCCAGGGTGTGCTCTTTGTTTCTCCTGTAGCACTGTGGTGGTTAATTTCAGCTTGCTGGAGTTGAAGTATTGGTTCATCTCCTGCTCAGGGTACCCAAGGGTGCTGTTTTGCCCAGTGGTTCTATGGGCAGGACCATAGTGTGAACATAACAAGTGATCTTTGCACCGTGTTTCAGCCTATTACTGACTTTTGCTGTTAAGTTAGATGTAACAACTGAATGAAAATAGGGTGACAGCTGCAGAGCTATGATACATCAATTATTGAACTTCGTGATTGCTTGGCATTGAATAAGAGAGCAGGCAGGAGAGTTTCCTTGTACCTGCTAGCTTACAGTGAAGTTACACTTGGCTGCCTTGTTCTGTAAGCAAGCTAGTTGAGGAAAAAGTGGATAAATTAAATTAGGACTGAAAGGGACTTTATGAAAATGTCTAGTGCACCCCTGTCCTGATTTCAGCTGGGACACAGTTCATTTTCTTCTTAGTATCTGATACAGTGCTGTTACTTTGGATTCAGTATGTGAATGATATTGATACCACACTGATATTTTGGCCCTGGCTAAGAAGTGCTTACCCTAAGTCAAGAAATTTTCAGTTCTCATGCTCTGCCAATGAGGAAGTGCACAAAAAGCAAGGAGGGAGCATGGCTGGGATAGCTGACCTGAACTGTCCAAGGGGATATTCCACACCATAGAATGTCATGCCTAATGGATAAACTGGAGGAGTTACCCAAAAGGGGCCATTTGCTGTTCAGGGATGGGCTGGGTATTGCTCAGCAGGTGGTGAGAAATTGTATCGTGAATTGTACTGTGCGTCATTTGTTTCTCTTGGGTTCTGTTACCTTCTCTCACTCTGCTGATGATTATTATGGTTATTATTATGACGATGTTTTAATTATTAAATTGTTCTTACCTCAACCCACATGGTTTACCTTTTCTTTCTGATTCTCCTTCACACTGGGGGAAGAGGAGAAGCGTTGGAAGTGAGTAAGCAGGTGCATGGTATTTAGTTGCTGTCTGGGTTTAAACCTTGACAACTCCTCAAAACCAAGGCAGAATCAGATTTACCTGAATCTTTTCTCAGAGGTGTTGCTGACAGGTTGGATGAAGACATTGTGATAGTGGAGCACCATTTTCAGACTGTCCATTCCAATGTTTAAACATCCTTATTATTAGAAAGCTTCATGTGCTTCCTAAATTCTTTGCTATGATTTGAATTACTGTCTATCTTCTCCAAGATAGATATTGAGAATGGATTGTTTCTTTTTTCTTTGTGTCAGCCTTTATGTAATTGAAGTCTGCTTTCATGTTTCCTCTAGCTTTTGTCTTTTGAACTAAACCACATCGATCTTTGCTCAGTCATTTCCAATAGATTGTACACATGAGGAGGGCTTACCAGCTCTCTAATCATTCTCATTTGCTTTTCTCAGGGTCTGTCTTGCTGATCCAGATCTCTGATGCAACAGTTTTGTGTTTTTCAATTTAACTTCTGCACTTATTAGTCACTGTAACATGAAAAGTCTGCGCAGGGATTCGGGAACTGCCAAATTGGATTAGTTTCAGATGGAGTGAAATCTGATAGAGGGGATTCCTTACTAAACAAGCCAGTAAGAGATGAGTTTATTATGTTATGAGACAGGAGTTGATGTTTCTCTCTTTGCTTTGGTTCTAGCTTGTGTAACATTTGAAATTGGTCTGGCTGATAGACTTAATCTCCCTCCCACCATGGTAGTGTGTGGCAATGAGCTCCACTGATCGATCGTTTAAAGTGTGCCCTCCAAACCTGAACTTATTAGTTCTAGTGGGTATGTTCCTGTCCTTATATTTTGATTCTAGATGGAGCCCTACCTAATTTTTTCTTGTATAAGATCAAGCATGGAACAGACTGCGCAGGGAAGTGCTCGAGTCACAATCCCTGAAGGTATTTAGAGGACATGTAGGCACTTTGGGACATGGTTTACTGGTAGATTGGCAGTGCTGGGTTGACAATTGGACTCCATGATCTAAAAGGTCTTCTCTAACCTAAGCGATTCTATGATTCAATGTGACACCAATATAGCAAAAAAGATGAATAATTCCAATTTACTTCAGGTGTCTTGAGACAGCTGGGAACACTTAGAGGGGAGACTGGTTTGTTCCACATCCAGGACTAGACAGTTGTTTTGGTCCTGTCCTGGAGAGCATAATTTAATAGATTGTTTTTCCTAGATCCTCTTGTTTTCCTCTCTTGTGTCAGTCAGAGGCAGCCGCCTTGGGAGAAACAAAACCTCTGTGTCATTTTTTCCCATTGGTGAAGCAGGGTTTATAGCGATACACCTCCCCTTAGAAAGTGGCTTGCTTTGTTCCTTTAGTGAAGGATGCTGTGAAATACAAAGTGTCTGTGCAAGTAACTGCTTGCATAGTTGCTCCACTGCTGCTGAAAATGGCGTGATGTTCACAGAGCGTCAGTGGAAGGCAGAGTACTTGGTGTGAAACGAGCCTTTACAGCATAATCCCCAGAGAGAGAAGTGGTAGCAGCACCTACAGAAATATACAGGGAGGCCTTACAATATGAATATAATAAGACTCTTGTGTATCAGTATTATTTGAGGCCATTTCTCCTGCTTTGCTGGAGTACAAGACTTTATAACATTTTAGCTGAGGTAAGAAAATAGGAGAGACATTTAACTTTTCCATTCCAAAATTCCTCTTCATCTTACTTAGTGCAGCAAGATGAAATCAGCATACTTCAGGGCATATCTTGTTATAAATATCTGTCCCTCAGCAGCATAGTAAAGAAAATGAGGCATCAAACTAGACAGCAGCTAGTTAAGCCCGTTCTATCTATTTTTATAGATTACCATATACGCACCAGCTAGCAAAGTGTTTGTAGAAGTCATCTGCAAAGATGCAAGGAGTTTGGCTGTCTCCTGGTTTATATGAAAGTGGGTCTCATGTTTCCATCTTCTCCAAGTTTAAGGCAGATGCCTGGGATGTTTAGTAGTCTTATGCTTTAGAAAAGCTGTTGGAGGTCTCAGGAATGTGCAATTTTAAGCTTCCTCAGGATTTGGTTATAGGTATGTTGTTGTTGTTGGGTTTTGTTTGTTTGTTTTTGTGGGTTTGGGGGTGTGTAGTGTGAGCGTTTTGTTTTTTAGAGCAAAGATTTTTAAATGAGCTTGATTGGACAGTGCCTTCAGCAACCTGGTCTTACCTGGCCCTGTTTTTATAAGAGATTGAACCAGAGGCTTGTTCCATCCTGTGGTCCTCTATGACTATATCTATCTTGAAGGTTTTTTATATTCAAGGTTAAAATTGAGAGAGGAGGGTTTTAAATAATCCAAGTAAAAATTGCATTCTTCTGCCTTAGTCCCTCTCTATTAGTGAGTCTTTCAGCCTCCAATTGTCATTCAGGGCCAAAGCTGCTTGAAAGTGTAGGATGAATAAGAAGTTGTGGAACATGATCAGCGTGAAACTCTTTTGGCTTAAAATGCGAAGTCTTTGCAGACTTCTTTCTTTCATAGTTTTGCACAGAGCAAAGTAGGTCGTGTCTCTCAGTATTGGGGTTAAAACTTGGAACTTTGAGCATAATGTCGGGAGTCATTCTGCTACACCGTGCTGTGCGTCTGACAAAGCTTTGCCGCTTGTTTCATAACCTACAGCAAAGGTGATGTTTTTCTTTCCATCCTGTCAAAGAGAGGGAACAATGTGTCTCTGCTGTGACAGAAAGACAGGGACTAACCCCAGGATTTAGAGTATCTGTGGAAGTAAAACTGAATGAGATTGGAAGCCCAGCGGATAGTTACAGTGCTGTTGGAGGTTCAAGTCTGAAACTTTTGCTCTTGGTGCAGACTGTGGGGTGGGATTTAGTGGACAGGCTGGAGGGTGAATGCCTAATGGGAATAGACTATTAAATATCACAGAGGAAGTAGGAGTATGAATTATCTCCAAGCTGGGCTTTTCTTTTGCTGCAGCAGCTCTCTCTCTCTTTAGCCTTGCTAGGCTTGTGTGGCTCACAGAGGACTTGTTTTTCTTCTTTGCAGATGAGCACCGGCTGCACAGTGGCAAGCTGTGCCTGATCATCCTGACATGCATAGCAGAGGTAAGTTTCTTGTGTGAAGCTCTCAGCAGATGGTGTGTTACAGGGCTCTATCTGCCTGCCTCTGGTGGAGCAGGAGTTTAATATCCACAATGGAACTGAGTGGTTAGGACCTCAGGCACTTAATGTTTTGCTAATAAACCTGGTACAGTACTGTTAAAGTTGACTCGGAACTTGAAAATTGTCTAACCCAAATAAGATTATCCAGCTCCCAAGAATGAAGAGAAAAAAGAGTGAACCTAAGCCTTTTCTCTCTTAGTTGTCAAGTGACCTTGCGATGTGGCTTTTAGATGAGTAATGTGCTAATGGCTTTCAGCACTGTGCTGTTCATGGTAAACACAGGCTATGCCATATCCCTTCTGCTGAAGAGGGTAGAAGTCTGAAAGAAAGTCACATGGCTGTAGGTCCCTACAAGGAAAACAAGTAGCAAATGTGATAGTAGGGTGAGAAAGCAGCATCACAGAGCTAGGTCAGCAGTCCTGGCAGAATGTGGTCCTGTCTCATGGGAAATATATACTCATGGTCTGACTGATGTCCTGAATGGTGATTGTGTTTGCATGGCATTTGCATTTTGCTTGCTTGCAAATAAAGACCTTTCCTTCTTAAAAAAGAATGAAAAGGCGTAATGTTGATAGCAGGTGCAAGGATTCTGAAGTAATGTTTCCTCAGGGTACAGCCTGAAAGCTAATCATCTACATTTTAAATTTTTCTAATTAAATGGGTTTGGCACTTTTTCTTCAGGTGGATGCATAGATAACACAAGATAAGAAATTCTGTTTCTCCATAACAAGGGCATGTTTTGGTTCTGGTATTAAGGCAGGTTATATTTATTACCCATCCTGGCCATGCATTATCTGGAGAAGTCTCTTTAATTTAGAGATGGTCTTGGAATGAGCTTTGCCTGAGGGGTGGAACAGCTGCTAGTACTGCAGTAACTTCTGGCATGATGGGTCCATTAAAATGCCAATTTAAACCTTCATCCACATAGTCACAGAAACTGGTGTGCTGGAGAACCACCTTCATATATTATACATCTGGAGCACTTGTTGAACTCTTCACATAGTGGTGTGTGCAGCCTAGAGTTTGAATGAGCAGAAGAGGAGAATGGAAAATAAATTGCTAACCAAACAAGCAGTAGTTCAGGCTTTAGTTAAAGTGGAATTGGGATCAGGAGGGGTTTACTTTTGTGTGACTGGAAACATAGGTGGGGGCAAGAAGTTACAGATGTCTTTTTAACTTTATAGTTATATGTTGGGAGTATTACACTGAAACACGTGTGATTTGAGAGGCAACTGTAAGATGCTGGGCTGTTCACATTTCCTCCCTCTTCTTGCCCTTTTCAATAGGATCAGTATGCTAATGCTTTTCTTCATGATGACAACATGAATTTTCGTGTAAACCTACATAGAATGGTGAGTCTTTTCTTCTAGATTGTTTTCTCTTTGGGATGCAAACTGAGAGGATTTGAGAACCCTGTATGTTGAAAACTGTGTCACAGACTTCTAACCTAGATTGCTAAGGCATGTAGAAATACTGTGAGAAATGCAGTAGTTGGGGAATGATTTTGAAATTGCTCTCAGAATGTCTCTTCAAAGAACAAAGAGCTGGTTGCCCTGTCAGTGAATTCAGAGGCCTGGTGTAGCTGGGGAGGAGCTGCATATTATGAGATCTCTGAGGAAATCAGTGGCAGAGGGAATGTTCTGCCTTAATCTTCAGCAAGCATGAGCCCTCGTGTGATATATAATAGCCAGCTGGAATTACACTGAGTGCTCTCATTTGGCTTATGCTTCATCCTGAAGGTGATTTCTTTTTACCTTCAGGGAGGAAATTTTTTTTTCCAGGGCTTTTTCCTATCTGTTGGGGGAGTGTCATTACCTGGCTCATGAAGCTCTGTAGTTAAAAGTAACTTGAATGGTTATGCTAACTTGATGCATTCTGTCTTTGTTATACTTGCAAATTCCACCTTATCTGACAGTGAAACAGCACTTAAAATTGTCACTAATCCAGGACAGAAACAAACATCTTACTTTATAGCGAGCATACTCCAAGGATGACAGTCCTTACCACTTAACAACAAACTTGCCATCTAGTTAGCCTTTCTGGTCTATTACAATAAACACCAAAGCCACTGAATAATGCACACACTGTTAAGAATACCAATCAGACTTCTGGGTCAGGAACAAATCAGTATGTTAACCAAGGGGGAGGAATTGCTGTGTGATTTGTTTTTGTCTTGTGGTGTTCACACGCCCCCCCAGTATAACAGTGCCCTCCAGTTACACAGCTAGAGAAACAAAACCCCATTATGGAAAAGCAGGCACAATTTTGCTCCAGCCACGGCCTTTAGGATTAATATAGGTAAGACAGCAGTTGGAGAAAAGGACAAAGGGAAGCCTGTGCTGATGATACTACTTGCTTGAAAAATACAGTAATACACAGACTGTCACTTCAGGCTTCTGCTGATTTCTTTTCATCTTTGTGTGTTTGAAGCCGATGAGACATCGTAAGAAAGCAGCAGACAAGAACCTGCCCTGCCGCCCGCTGGTGTGTGCGGTGCTGGGTGAGTATTGTCACAGTACCTGTGTGCTTGTGGTTCCCAAGGCACCTCTTGTTGTGCAGTAGAAATATGAGGTTCGTGGCTTAAGTGGAGGGGTGGATGGACTTAAAAGGAGGACAGTTACATACTAAAGATGTTTCCAACAATGGAATGTCCATCTCCATGCCATACTGGCTGCTTCACGGACAATTTAAATCCAAGATTGCAGCTCTGTAGCAAGAAATCCTATATATATTTACAGTAAGCTTTGCAGAAGCCAGTTGGCCCCTTTGATATGAGCTAGTAACAACAGGGAGGACAGTTGATTAATAAATTCAGTTTTAGGTGAGTGTGGTAACAATTAGCCCTAAGTACTTTGTAGGTGATATGAGGATGGCAAACCTATGGAAAGGACATTTGTGAATGTCCTTTGTTTGCTGGGTATTTAGCCTTTTCTGGGTAAAAAACCAATAGGAATGTCAGTAGCTAGGATTGGTTTTGGTTTTGCCTGCGGATATGGAGGCATCGTTAAAAGCTTTTCATACAACACATGATTAAATTGTGGCTTTCATTACTGTGGGGGCCAAAAGAATAAATGCGTTCAGAAATGGATGAAGCCTGGATGCCTGAATGACTCTTAAGCAGGATGGTATGGAAGCAGTCTTAGACTTCCAGCATTTTCAAACATGTGCTTGTTGAAACCAAGACACAACAGCTGCATGAAGAGCATTTCTAGACTTATCAGATCTTATGCACTCTTTCTCTAGACTGTTTTTAGTCACTATTGAGTCATACTGCTGGGCTATAAGTGCCCTGGGAGGTTACAGCTCACAATTGTTACCACTGGCATGGGATAAGCATTTTTTGCTGAAGTTGTGTTGAGCACACACACATTCGATTATCATTTATTAGCTGAACCATCATAATTTATCTCTTTCAATTGTATTTCTATATTCTTTGCCTCTTATCCTCACACTGGGAGCCCTTAAATGGGCAACCCATTCTCCTTTTTTCTTTTTTTTCCCCCCCTGAATTAATCTTAAGCAGAAGCCTAGCCTATGTTGAGATCAAACTAGCTTTACTTCAGAATTTGTTTTAAGGAAGAATAGGTGTTATCTACAATGTCTCCTTAAGTAAACTTCTAGGTTGTCCATTGTTTCTTGCAAGAATAATTTTCTAAAATTTGCTTCTTAATGGAGTTTTCCATTAGTGACAAGGCTTGAAATACGAGAGCAATTCTAAACATCAGAATTCATTGTATAGTCTTTATTTGACTCTTAGTGGGGGAAAGTATATGGGGAAGCAGTGCCTCAAAGCAAAAGGATACAGTATGTACTGTCAGTTTGCAGTAGTTTCTTTTCTAATTCTAGAGGATGTCCAATGCTCTTTAAAACAAACAAACAAAAAAGTGAAATTCTTCTCGTCTAAGCGGGACTGTTGTCTGGTAGAGGTTGGTAGGTGGGGCAGTTTGATTTCCTCATAGTCTACAAGGTGTTACCAGTAGCCAGCTCAATACTTACTTAATAATTTTCTTTTTTGTCAGATTTGATGGTGGAATTCATTGTAACACACATGATGAAAGAATTTCCTATGGATCTCTACGTGTAAGTGTTGTGGGGTAACTCACTGTGATTTCATTTGAAGTTTGAGTTCGGGTGGAATTCTGCTCACAGAGCGATCTTCCTGCTGAAATAATGCTGTGGCTGGTGGGAGCAGGATGGCGTTTCATGAACTCTTCCAGTAACTTTTTCTAAAATCCTCTGTGTACCAGAAAATTGAAAGTGAAATGAATTTCTACCTTTCAGACTGTTTTCCTAATCTACTTGATCTAACACAAAGAGCTTTTCAGTCTAAAAGAAGTTTCATAACACAAAGTCATTGCAAGAATCCCCACTTCCCAGAAGATGAATCTTGGTCTAGAAACAGAAAAGACAGTTTTAAAAACCCAAGGATGACTGATGTGAGGCCTGGAAGGCAATGTGGAGAGGAAGAGAGGTTTAAGCCTGAAATAGCTTGCAAGGGGTAAAACTGAGCAATGGGCAAAAGGAGACAAGAGGACAGAGCTACTCATGAGCATTCCATGTGTCCCACGGGGGCCCCTCAAATGCTTTTGTGCTGCTTTAGCCCGGAGGGCAGAAATAGGATTTAGGCAGATTGTTGGCTTTGCTCTGACTGTTTGTACAGTGCTGAATTTCCCCAAGGCATGAACAGCACTATATTCTGTAGAAAAGATAAAGACACATAGGATGTTTTACCTTAAGGTAACTTTTCACCATGTTCTGATTTTGGCCACATAACCCTGCAATTACAGTGCCTTTTCAAAGGTTGTATTGTTCAGTTGAGTTTGTGAGAAATGTTTTTTTTTTTTTAATGACAGTTGCAGAATTAGTTGTAGATGGGTATAATGCACTGGAGTTTCACAAGAAAGGTGTGAACTGCTTGGGCTCAGAAGTAATGTCACATCCAGAAACTCCATGAGACTAAAAACAATGAGTAGTAGCAACCACCAGTGGACATCTGTATCCATTCATTTTGGCATGTTTGTGCAGTCCTTTCATTATGCTCCTGTCTGAAACCATCCCATAGCAGACGCAGTTATTGCAGACAAAGGGGGTGTTCTGAATGCACAAGTAGTGTCATACTTCTCTGCAGTACATTTAAAAGGTGACAACATAAAGCTGCTCAAGGGCAGGCATATTAATATTTAAAAGAGAAATCCAGATTGCTTAGAGTAAGGATGCTTTTTGTCCATTATATGTATTATGAATCCTCAGCATAAAACTAAAAAACAGAAATACCCCACCGGGATGGATGTCTTTGTAACTAAGGCAGTTTCACAACTAAAGCAGTGTAGTTTGGGAGTCTAGGCAGGGGTACTAGGACTATTATGCCCCTTCTAATCCCTTTCTGTTCATACCTTGATTTCACAGTAGCTGTATGCTACTGTGTACAATCACAAGGTTTCAGCGACGAGATGTGTATGCAGATTATTTTGCATTACCAGCTATTGTTATTATAAAGAAATGTTTTAGCCATTAGCAGATTCTCTCTGGTCAGCATCTTAAATAGAGTTCGGCTTTTTTTTTCTTGTAGAGGCCAATTTTAGACTTACAGCCAAGCAAATACGTAGGTGAAAAGGTGCTGGGCATTGTCTGGTACCAGTAACATCAGAAATAGGAGGTCTCTTCCCAGAGTGATTACTGTTCCTGATCTGAAGACAGCTGTCTATCCTAGCTGGTTTGCTTCCTTTTCTTGGTTGAATTTATGAGAATGCTATTTGAAATACAGCACTTACTGTGACGCTCAGCGACTATAGATGGGGTTACTTTTGTTCATTCAAAGTTAGTTTTAGTTCTTACCTCATTGTGGTATTTTTGGGATCATCTAAAGGTCTGAAAAGAGTAAGATACACCTTCTGCATATTTTTTTCTACAGCCTTATTTTTAAAGCCTGCTATTGAACTCTTCACACCATTTTGAATAAATTCCTTGCAAATTTCTAGGATTTGATTTCTCTATGTTTATCTGATGTGTAGTGTCTTTCATCAGTGTCTTTTCAGAAAGATGTTCACATTAATGAGATGTTTTTGACAAATAAGAATTTGGGGAAAAAGGAATTTTTCTTTTTAGAAACCTTCCTTCTATTTTTTCGAAATGTTAATAACTAAAAATAGCCTGACCTAAGAAATTGAAATTTGTATAAATTTTTTGTCTTGTCCGTAATGATAGCTAGTGATAGAGAATTTACTCATTATACTGTATATTTAGTTCTGATATTATTTGTGAAGAATGTTTGTGCACCTGGAAGTTTGTATGAGTGCTGGATGCTATAGAGACCTACAGGATTATTTGGAGACTTGACAAGTACGCTGGCTGTGTTGGGGGATTCCAGAGCTTGTAGTGCTTGATCATTACTTTTTAAGGAGACTGGAAAAATGAATACAAATATCTGTCTTTTTTTTAAAAATGTAATTAAACCACACACCTCAGTCAAACTAAAAATCCTGTAGGTTTTTTGACACTCTTACTTCCTTTAGCCTCATCATTTGGGCCAAAGAAACTGAGAAACTCCACTGTGTCCAGATTTTACAATAACATGCAGTATCTCATACATATGGAGCCTACAAGTAACTCATTTTGTAGAGCTTATGAGACTCTTAGGTAAGGGTAGCAAAGAGTGGAAAGTATTGATTAAACAATGAATATGCATTTGTGTTCAGTCCAATCCTGTTGAGCTTAAACTGACATACAGGCCCCTTTCTTTCATTTTGTCTGATTCTTTTTTCATTCCCTTTAGGAGCTCAAAGCCACGAGTCCCATCCTCCTTTGATAGTCTTTGAGTTTCTCTGCTGCTGATTTCGGAGACATTTCCAGATTCAATGTAGAATTCCTGGAAAATGTGATGTCATTAATCCTTTGCCCTCTCTTTTCCAGACGGTGCATTCAGATTGTGCACAAGCTGCTGTGCTACCAGAAGAAATGCAGAGTGAGACTTCATTACACCTGGAGGGAGCTCTGGTCAGGTACTTGGCATCTGCAGTGACAGTCAAATAGGAAAAGCCCAGAGCAGTGGCTGTTTGGTGGCTGTGACTGCTTGTTCCATTGCTACAGGGTTAAACAGCAAGCAGCAGTTCTGTTAAAGCATCTTTGTTTTGCTTCTCAGTTGCTACATGCAAATTGCCTCTTTTGGAAAGCCAGTTCATTATCATAATGGTAGCTAATTTACTTTCTTGTCTGGCCATGATCACCATGGTATCCAAATGTCTTTGTTTTTCTGTTTCATTACCTGAGTCCCTGTTCACCTGATTAGAGAAAGGGAGTAATGTTTTATGGAGTAGTGTTTCTCTCAGGTATTTGTGAGTAGAAGGAAAACAGGCTCTTGGGTAAAGGGAGATGGACCTTACTTTTCCTTTTTACTGTCAGAGCTGCATACACATAGAGTAGTGTGTGCAGCCCCTTCTGAAGAGAGCAGCTTAGAAATGTCACTGTGAGGGAAGAGAGGCTTTTAACTCTGACCTTTGAGTTGATGGTAGGTAAGTCTGTTTCATGCTACTTGTATCCAGAGATAGATAAATATTACAGGGTTTGACATAATCTACTGGACATAGCTTTGTAGGACTCTGACATGATGCAGTTATTGCGTGGGAGGTCTGAGGAAGGGAGTAGCAGAATGGATGATGAGACCTAACAGACGTTTTTGGTGGTTAGGGTGTGTGCTTCTGTTCTTATCTAGCAAGCAGTGAAGTAGCTCGGCTAGGAAAGTACAGTTAATCCCCTTGCTGTTGTGGCTTAAACAAGAGCTTTATGAAAATTCAGGGGAACATGGCCCTAATTGTGTATTCCTGGAGCTGTGCTCGAGACCTAGGATCTGTGACTTGCCTGGTGTAATGCAACTCCCATCAGAAATTTGGGAGAGGAGGCTTTTGAAAAAGGCAGTGATGAGTGGTTTGTGAAGCTGTTCTAAGTTAACACTGAGTACTTGCCTTCAGTAGCCTTCCCCAGCTAGGTTGTAGGTACAGAGGAATGAACGGACAACCTGAGTCACTTTCAGTTATTAAATTTTCACTTTGTGTGACATGTGGCCCATTCAGACTGTCTAAATTATTCCTGCAGAAGGTGAAACGGGTGCCAGTAATTAAGGGATTACCGATTTCTTTTCAGTTGTTTTCATCAGAGCAGAGCCCCTAGAGGCATGGCTGCAGTGTAGTGCCAGTAAGGAGAAGTGTGTGTACAATATGGATGTTTTTTGTGAATAGAAACTGCATCTGATAGCATGTGTGATATCCTCTCTAGTTACCAGTGAACCAGAGCCATTTCTGTTTGGCCAGGCTGGGCTGGATCTTTCCTACACACTGGCAGTATGGAAGTTTCAAATATAACACCTTTTTGCTTGAAGGTATTGTTCCACAGTTCAGCACACTTTTAGGCATCTTTCAATCTTAGTTTTACCTATTTATGGGGGGGAAAAGAATAAAAATCCTTGCTGCATGCTGAGATTCAGTATCTTGGGATATTCTTGTTAGCTGTCTCTAATTAAATGGTGTTTGTATAGTGCTTTGGAAACGTAAAGGGCCTCAGAAGTGTTGAGTACTGCATACGCTTTGAAAGCAAAGCAGTAATGTAAAAACCACTCAGGTTGATCAGGTTTCTGTGAAGGACCTGGAATGTCTGCACACCTGATGTAACTGAAGAGCTTCGTGTGTACTATGGATTTCTGTGTGTTTTAGGGAGATCCTCTCATGTGGGAGTAAACTACCATAAGAATATTTAAAAAAAAATTTTTATAGGGAGTTGAGGTGAACAGAGAGATTCTTCAGTAGCTGCCAGGTGGTTTATACAGGCTGGAAGGTCCTGGATGGAATGGTACATACACCTGTAAAAGGGGACATCCTGGCTGCTCCAGATGTGCTTCTAGAGTGCTGTATGTTGCAGAGTAAACACTAATTGCCAGCCCTATCTTGAGATATATTTCATAATTAACTCTTATCCTTGTCAGGGTTGCTCTTTGATTACCCAGAATGCTGCTGCCTTTGATGTGAAAGAATGGCTATTTCTATGGTCTTGATCTAAGTTACAGAAAATTTCAAACCAGAGCACAGGGACTTGCGAATTAATTTCTATCCTTCATATGACCATTGGGTTTTTATTTTGGATTGAGGAATTAGTTATAACTGGATGAACAACTAAAAGAGAACAGCTGTTCACTGTAAGGTCCAAGATCTCATGTTGCCCCATCAGGTGTGCTTTACAGAAGGTCTTCAAGCCTACACTTGTCTTCTAGAATGACAAGGTGTGTGATGAGTGAAGCAGTGCCCCTGTGGTGCAGTTTGGAGGCCCCTCAACAGGACTGAGTGGAACAAAGAAGCTGGAGGGAATTGGTGTAAGGAAGTATTGAAAAAAAGGCAGGGAGTTCTACCTGGCACGTAAAAGAAGGAGAGTTTTTTCAAGCAGAAAATTGAGTGGGAGAAGAAGACAAAGAGACTAGTGTGGGGTAGGTAGTCAGTATAAGGTGCGGAGGAACTGAGATAAAGGTTGTAGGTGGAAGCGGTAGCAATGCATGGAGCCTTCTGTTCACTTGCCAATTCTAATGTTAGCTAGTCTCTAATTAAGGAAAGCCACTCGTGTGTCATCTGATTGATTGATGCTCTTCCTTTGTGAGTGCTTTGTCTTCAGTATGGAAGGCCAGCAGCACTTCGAGAAAGTTTCTGCATTTACTTTTCTGATATTAAGTCGCAGTGATGGCAGAGAAAAGCAGTAGAGTCAGGTGTTTGGCATCTCTCAGGACACATATAAGGCTTTTTATGTAGTCTGTAATACTTTATACTTTTTTGGATATTCCACTATGTGGCATATTGTTTACATATGATCTTATTTCTGTTGAACTTCCTTTTGCAGCATCTGAGCTTAAAGAGGAACAATATTGTTAGTCTTTGGATGTGATCCAGCCTTAGCTCCTTTATTAGAATAATTTTTTCATATTAAGTCAAGGGGCCAGGACTATGGCACTTAAAGCAGTGTAAGTCTCTAGCTGTGCAGACCAGATGACCAAGAATGTTTAGCTGACAGAGAAAGATGCAGGACTTTGAGAGCTGGAAGCAGGACTGACAGAAAGGAAAATCTGTGGGTGGCAGAAGTTGTGTGTATAAGCTGACTTTAGCTATAAGTAGTGTGAAAATAAATACCAGATCACTAGTGGAGCTAAATTCCAGAATATCTTAAAAGGAATGCTGGAGAGTAAAAAGCAGTTGTACTTTGATTAGCCTATGAAACTGATTGGCAAGTGCATTTACTGATAGGTAGACCAGACATTTAGATCCAGACATGTCTGTTGATTTGGATTCTTCTTTAATAGCCCTTTTCAGCAGACTCTTCACTTCAGTTCTGCCATCTGTGATTAGTGTGCAGCTGTATGAGCACTGTAGAAAACATTCAGGTTTTTCATCTGTGACAGTGCACCATTGCTGGTGACTAGCCTGGATATTTGACCAAGGTCAGAAACTTTAAGGGGGTATGTTTGTGTTGACCCATTCCCTTGCAGACATTTTGGCCAATTGAAAATTTCCTGGACAGTTATGCCAGGTACCTTATACTTTTTAAAATCTGAATTACTGCATGTCAAATGTAAGGTACTTTATATAGCTGATAAGGAAACTTGACTTGGTAACAGCCAGTTCCCAGCTCTCAGAAATAGCCCGTTATGCCCAATGTTTTTGGGCTAGTTTGTACAGCACTTGAGTGATGGATGGTGCTATATATATGTTGTTGTTGTTGTCAAGCATGTATAAGCTATGCCAAAAGAGTTTTCATGAGTCATTTAAGCTTTTTATATAAAAAGACCTCATTTCTACAACTCCTCCCACCTCAAAATTAGCAGTGCTTGAGCAATTCACTCTGAGCTTAGGGGGTGCAGGTAACTTCTTTGCAGTTGCTATGGTTCACTTAAAGCAAAACCCATGTTTAAAGAAACAGAAAAGCAATTCTAATATAGACTTATAATAGCAAGACTAGAGCATAAAAAAAATCTTAAACATAATGATGAATAATAGTGAAATTGCATTCAATTGCTCTAATAAATAGCTAAGTAGGATTAAAAGTGGGCTTGCCATTAGTAAGTATTGAAGATGAATATCCAAATCATTTTAACATGTTATAGTTCCTTATCTTCTAGCTTAGTTAATTTGATAGGTGCAGAATGCACTATTAGTAAAGGTGCTTCAAATATGTAGCACTATCAAGAAGTTAATTTTTCTTCTTTTTCAGTTTAGAATTATCAAATTAGAGTTTTGCAATGCTACTATACGAAATTACTTTTTCCTTTTTGTAAGCTCTTCAGATCTTTCTGTCAGGTTCTGAGTTTGTAACATGAGGGTAATTTTGCTTTCAAAATGTTTTTGGGTGAATACTAAAGAGGTAAAAGGTTCCTCTGTGGAACATTTTAAAATAAGCAATTTTTTGGGGGGAGTAGAACCTCACCCTCACACAACTTGAAGTATATATAACTCTCTTGCCCTTATGCAGTGCATATTGAAAGTGGTATTGCTTAGTCACTTTTCAGTCACAGAAATAATAAAGCAATATTGATTATTGATAGTAATTGTTATCTATGCCATTTCTGGTTCTAAATTGTTGATCAGGTCTGCTTCATTTATGTTGCTGAACTGGAAATCAGGTGATGTGTCTCATGTTCATCTCTAATACCGCTGTCACTGTCACATTCTGCAGCAGCTACCTGGCAAGGGAAGCTTGTCTTGCAGCTCTTGTGGAGGCAGGATTCATATACTGATGTACCAGACAGTCCAGTTCACTAGTAAAGTGCCTGATCACTAGATGCTGTGAGAGTTTGCAAGATCGTAGAGCTTGATCATTAGCAAATGACTTAAAAGATTTTAGGGAAAAGACTTAAAAATATAAAATTTGACCTTCTTACAAACTTGCGGAATGTCTTTCATGGCTTTAAAAAATGCTGCCAAGGTTCAGGATTCAACAGTGCTGTCTTGTGCGTGCTTGTGAAGTCTTTGAGGTT